ATGTTCCCTCCCTTGTGGTGTTTTTTTTTTTTGGGAGTAAATGAATAGATCAAAGTATTTTCGGGAAATTGTAAAAAAAAAAAGCAAGCCACAATTAGAAGTACCGATGGATAGGAAATCCTACACTGTATTTGATTGAAATGTACAAGGAGGAGAGTAATTGGTAGTAGAATAATAGAATATGATAATTCTATGTTGTAAAAGACAGAATGATTTCAATATTTGGAGTTGAAAACAGAATGAATACTCATATCAACCCGTGTACCAGTAGGTAGGTGCTCAACCTCAATATAATAAATATCGAGAATGACCTCAGGAAGAGAAAAAAAGAGCAAAGACTAAAATAGAACGAATCTACCATAGAATGAATCACAAACGAACAATCGAATTAAAGTAAAGGCATTTATTTGTTCATTCATTCATTCATTCATTCATTCTTGCACATATGTTTACGAAATATCAACAATAAACAAATATCTACTAGCTACCTACCTACCTATCTCGTCTCCTTAGTTCTAAGAATATTTCTAAAGATATCATCAACCAAGCCATACCAAGCCAAAGCCATACCAACAAAGAAACTCAGTCTTCAGTCTTCAGTCTTCCGCTCTTTTTTACACTATCTAACCATCCATCCATTCCATTCCATCCAATCCATCGTCTCTACCAGTACACTCAAATCTAGATTCCCGCAGCCGCAAGTAGCCCTTCTCCCTTCTCACTTCTTCTCCAATTCCCAACAACACTACCGGCCCATCCATACATCCATACATCCAACCATCCACAATCCACCACCCTAACCAAACTCATCGTCATCACCCCAACCCCATCCGTCCAAGATCTACCAAATCCAAGTCTCTATCTTCCGAGCTTCCCTACCTATCAGACCTCCCCTCGCTCCCTCCCGAGCCTCCCTCATAACCTCTCCCGAAAATTCACCCATAAAACGGATCATAAAACGAATTAGAGTTGAATAGAGTTAAAACTAGTACACTTTCCATCTCTCTTATTGGCTCGCAAAACTGGTATTCCGAGTATTATACCGTAGTTGTTCTTGGCGTGTGCGTGATATTTTTGTGGTATTTATTTATAGATGGTTTTGTTTGATGAATGTGAATGGATAGGTAGGTGAAAAGAGAGAGAGAGAGAAAGAGAGAGAGAGAGAGAGAGACATATATGAATACAAGTAAGTATCTAAATAATTATCTGAGAAATACATCTATTGTTCCTTAATGTTGATATAAATGACGCTTCGCTGACCCTCCGGGGGCCACTGCCGTGGAGGCAGACTATTTAGAACAAGAGAAAATATATCCTATTAAGAAAGAGAAGACATATATTTATCTATATTTCTATCCATCTATAACATGGTTTAACACCGAGTGCACCATATCACCGAATGCACCACTTTTACCTCAATTTGCATTCTTCAACTTCAATACGCGATTTATCAATCATTTATTATATAATCAAATAGAAAAAAAACTCAAATACTTTTAGCTATTAAAGCTATTTAAAAAAATAAAAAACTCAATATTCGAAAAATTATTAAACTATATAATATAATATATATAATATTTCTTTACAAAATGAATAATTTACTTCTTTATATAGAAATTCGAGTAAATAATTATAAAATGATTAATTTAGAAAAGGAGATATTTATTTAGTATATAATTAATATAAATAATAAAGGATTTTTATTTAAATTAAATAATATAGAAGATATAGCGAATTATATTCTTCAATTGCAAAAAGTAAAGAAGATTGAAAAACTCTAGGCTTATCAATTCATAAAGCATTATTCAAAATTAAAAATATGTTTTAGTTATGTTTATAACTTCCAAAAAGCTTTCTATAAAGATCCCAAGTTTATTGAAGATTGGTTTCGTATAATTTCGAATATACAAACGAAATATAATATTCTCGATTGTGATTTCTGCAATTTCAATAAAACTAGCTTTATAATAAGCATAATATACTCTGGAATGGTTATAATTAATACTAAACGAAATAGTAGAAGAAAAGCAATATAATCGAATAATCGAGAATAGGTAATAGTAATTATATATAATAATAGTGAAGGGGATATTATACCTTTATTTCTAATAATTCAAGGATAGATATATTTTTTCAATTAATATATTGAAATTAATTTTCCTATAGATTGAGTTATTAAATCTATATCTAATGAATAAACAAATAATGAGATAGGGTTAGAATAATTGAAATATTTTGATAAATATATAAGAAATCAAATTAAAAGCAAATATAGAATACTAATATTGGATAGGTATAAGAGCTATAAATCAATATTATTCTAAAACTATTATAAAGAGAATAATATTATATATATATATTTATTATTGTATTTAAATCATTTAATTCAATCTTTTAATATTAAATGTTTTAATATCTTAAAATAAAAATATAGTATTCAAATTAAAGGGTTTATAAAAGTATATATCTATTATATCTCAAAGATCAAATTCTTTATAGTTTTTTAAAATTATATATTAATAATCAATTACAATCAGAATATAAGAACTAGATTCTAAAAAATAGAATTAATTTCATTTAATTCTAAAACTATATTTTCTAAATTGGAAATTCGAATTCATATATCTACTTTTTTTTCTTTTGATTTAGATCTCTAGATCTCTCAAATACCTCGAAATCCTATAAAAGCTCTTTCTTAATTAATATTAATTAAATCTCGAATAATCTATTATCAATTAAGTTCTTCTATACTTATATTCGAGACTATATTAACTCTAACTAAAAGTATAAAGAGATTAATTTATAAGAATATACTTTTGAATATAGAGATTTATATATTTCAAAAAGCAAATAAGATATTAAGTAAATATTAATATATAAAAAAAACTTAATTATATTAAGAAAAAGTATTTATTGAATAAAAGATTTTTAATATATTATTTTAATAAAAGATTGATATTTAGATTTAATATAATAAATGTTAAAATAAGGGAAATTCTAATAAAAAAGTATTTTTTAATTGATATTATAATAAGTATAGAAAATCAGGTTATAATTCAAGAATTTATTAAAATAATATAATAGATTCTAGATTATTAGATTTTTAATAATTTTAATTAATTGATTTAATTGTTGTTGAATAATATAAATTAGAAAGCGCAAATTGAGGTAAAAGTGGTGTATTTGGTGATATAGTGCACTCGGTGTTAAACCACGTTACCTAATTTACATGTTATATTATTCCCTCTCAGAGAATATCTTCGTATCTATATAAAAATGGTGGCAGTGCTCCAACATATCTCAGATCTCATATCTTATCCCACATCCCACACCCATCCAATCCATCCATCCATCCATCCATCCATCCATCCATCCATCCATCCATCCCTCCAACCAATTCTAACCTCCAACAATCCAGTCCAATCCAGTCCAGAGTCCAGACCCTTCTCTTTCCCTCTTTTCTCTCTCCCCTTTCCTTCTCTCCCGCCCTCTCCACCTATTTCACTATATACCTACCGACCCATTATCCATTACCCATCACCCATTACATCAACATCAACCTCAACATCAATCAATCCGTGAATTTCCCACTTCCTTTATCCATCCACACCTACTCCATCCATACCTACTCCGGGGAATATCCATGTGACGATGCTGTGTTGTTATGTTGTTACGTTACTCCATATATTTAAACTTTGTATTATCACCACTCAGCATTCCTCCATTATTACTTCTCTATCGGTATCATCGCCATAACCACCAGCATCATCGTCTTCATCATCACCATCATTCCCTCCCGTCTCTCCAAATCTACTCTGTACAATACAACACAATATTTACAATATATACCTACCTATATACTTATATACTTCCCTCAAATCATTCCCAAAACACCACCAGCGCCAACAATAACATATATCCTACATCCCTTCCCTTCCCTTCCTATATTCTATTCCATTCCATCTGTCCCTTTTCTTCCACCACACTCAAATCCAAGCATATACTCAATCCATCCTTACACCAACTCCCAACTCCCAATTCCCAATTCCCAATTCCCTACTCCCAGCTCCCTACTCCCTACCCCCCACTCCATCGCATAACATCGATTCCCATCTATTGACCCTCACTTATCCAATGCATCAACCATCTTATCCATTCCTCTTATATACAACACATATATAAAATACACACATATAAAATACAACATAACCCACCCACCCATCCATCCATCCACCTACATACTATTCATCTATCCAAAACCCCAATTGAAAACCCCAATTCCCAACCTTCTACTTTTCTCCCACCTCCATTCAATATATCAACACATCAACACATCAAAACATCAAAACATCAAAACATCAAAACATCAAAACATCAAAACATCAAAACATCAAAACATCAAAATATACCTATCTACTACCTACTACCTACTACCTACTACCTACTACCTACTACCTACTACCTACTACCTACTACCTACTACCTACTACCTACTACCTACTACCTTCTAACTACTATTTACCACCTACCACCTACCACCTACCAAACAAACAAAAAATAAACTCAAACTATCTACCTACACATAGCCAAATCTACCTACCTACCTACCTACCTACCAACCTACCAACCAAGCGCTCCAAACAATTCATTACCACCTATCTAGATACCCAAGTACCTAGATAGGTACCCAGCTATACAATTATCAAGGTTATATCACATACCTACCTACCTACCTACCTACCTACCTACCCACCTACCTTCTCTATCTACATACTATCTACCTCCATACATACACACGTACTTCCAAACCAAACCAGAACACACAAATCCCATGTCTCAAACCCTATAAACGTGATTCGATTCAATTCGATTCACGACAAGAGTGTGATATGATCATTACCCCAATCAACATTAATTTGTCTCACCAACCGTACCACACACCACAACCCAAATCACAAAGTACAAATCCCAGACCATATCACAAACTACAAACTACAAATCACAAAGTCCAAGTCCATGTACTCGAGGTCAATTCAGTAACCTAGGTACAACAGAGACCAAAAAAACTCACACTTCATGTCTGGTAAATAATAATTTCATTCTGCATATTCGTTTGGTTTCCTATAGATAACTCGCTCCACTTTTCATGGCATTGCATCGCATCGCATCCTCATCCCATAATTCGTCATTTCCCGTCTCGCATCTCCATCTTCCATTCCCCTCTCTCAATCCAAATCAAACAATTGAAGTACAGAGAATGATTGAATCTCTGTACCTAGCTTTCCTTTCCCGCAATAATATACAAAGCATAAAAATGCAAAAATAAAAATGTAAAAAAACAACCACGAAAACCCATCACCATATTTCCCCATATAACCTAAATGATTCGAGTCGATAGATTGTCTAATTATTCGAAAACGTATTCAAATGTTATACCGTGGATTTTCCAATTGAAAGAAACCAGATTCGCTCCATGTGAGGTTTTCGTTGTCGGAAATGTGTTCAATAATTGAAAAGTTCATCAACCTGTAAATGGACAAAATATAATCTCTTGAGAGATCTAAACAGATTCCTTGCGTGCTTGACTTCTTGTCTTTCGTTGAGCTTGACCAACAGCAGGAAGCTTTTTCTCTCTCTTAGCAGGTGTACCATTGGATGCACCCTTTGGTCTACCAGGCTTCTTCTTTGAGTCAGTACCATTGGCAGTACCATTAGAAGTAGCGTTGGTCTTTTGTTTTTTGGTACCGTTCTCTTCTGGGCTCTCTGCTTCATCGTCCAATTCATCTGCCTTGCGCTTGTTGCCGGCCTTAGGTTTGGTCTCGGATTTATCTTCTTTGCCGTTCGAATCTTTCTTCTCGTCCTCCTTGACATTCTTTTCCTCAGTCTTTTCCTCGCGCTTTTCTTCGGTGGTCTTTTCTTCAGATTTGTCCTCACCATCCTTCATCTCAACGTCCTCTTCCTTCTTATTTTCACCCTCAGATTCAACCTTTTCGTCTGGAACATTAGTTTCATCTTTCATTTCCTCATCCTTGGATTCACCATTGGTCTCGGCCTTCTCCTCTTCGACCTTTGATTCGCCATTGGTCTCATCCTTTGAATCACCATTGGCCTCGACCTTTTCCTCCTCGACCTTGGATTTACCGTTGGCTTTACCATTGGTTTCATCCTTCATTTCTTCATCCTTGGATTCGCCATTAGTCTCTTCCTTGGCCTCTTCCTTGGCCTCCTCCTTGGTATCCTTTGATTCACTGGCTTCCTCTTCCTCTTTCGTCTCCTCTCCCTCCTTACTCTCTTCACCCTTCTCCTCCACCTTCAACTCACTAGCCAACTTCACAACATCATTTCCACTTCTCTCAATGTGTACTGCTGGATTCTCCTCATCTCCCGTCTTCTGGATTTCATTTCCGCGATGACTAGTAACTGAGACTTCACCAGCCTTTACTTCCGCAGCGGTTCCATCTGGATTTGCGCCGCCCCAGCTCCAGGAAACTGTACGAAGATTTGTCAGTCGTGTGAAATTGAGCCGAGGTAAATTGAAGATCGCCATGGTATTGTGTGAATGGATGATGATGCGCAAGCCAAGTAATGAGGGAGGAGTGAAGTGAGATGGAGTGGAATGGAGGTAGTTGAGGAAGTTGAAGGAATCTCGGAGCGCAAAGCTTGCGAGAATGGAAATGGCGTTTGTGAGAGGAAGTTGGTACAAATCATGAAATTTTCAGATAGTAAAATCCAGAATTCTCCTCTCCAGTAAATAGAAAACAAGTAATAGATCTCAACATACCTTTGTCGCCTTCTTCGATCTTATTATCAGCCATCTTTTCCAATCTTCTCGTCTTCCGGGTCTTTTCAAGAACCTTCAAATTATCCAAATAACTCAGTTACTCAAGATAAATATATCAATCCAAGTTCCACGTTCTTTTCAATTGTCTCTTGCGATTCAATTGTAGTAGTCAAATAGAAAATTTCGTATCAATTGAAGTGTTGCGACAAAATAAACGGAAAAATAATCAAAGAGTTGACGTTGAAAAGCAAAGCAAAGTAAGTATGTGAAATATGACGCTCCAAGCTTGCAAGCTCTCTCGGGTACTACAAGCTTTTGCAATGATTTTCAAGGTTGGTTCCGGGTTACCGTAGAGGGAGGATACCGCAAATGGATTAGATTTTCAAGCAACCTTTGAATATTGCACCCAATACGTCAAAGGATCAAGTTTAAGAAGGAAGATCAACGAATCAGATATCCAAGAATGTGATTACGGCATCGAAAATTCTTGGAAAAAAGAGGAATATAATACCTCATTGAGCCACAAATTATTTTACCTTTTTTCTCTTCTTCTTCATTTTTTCTTCCCTCTGCATTGTGATTTGATCGGACATGGTCGGCTACGGCTTTTCTCATGTTTCTGCAGAATCTTCTAGGTGCTTGAGGCGCAATCCACGCAATCAAAATCCGATCTGAATTGCGGGGAAATGACAGGGCTGGAATGCATTCCCACATATTTATATCACTGCAGAAATGATTGAAGAAAAGAACAAGACGTAAGTAATGTGGTGATGATGTGAAAGACCTCGAGAGATAAAAATGTTGAATGATTTGAGATGGATGTATTCACCTCAATTACCCGATCCCGAAAGTCAATTCAATCCATGAGAGTTTTAATGTTGGTGAAGAAGAGTTTTGTCCTGTACCTGATCCCGAGGCCTGCAAGGGGAGAGCATCAAGCTAATGCATAGATAGATCCGCTTATTCACGTGATGCTGAGCAGGAATGGACAGAATTATAACGTCATTACTTGTCTTACAATTCTACGCACTGTGATGAAGAATAGAGAACATAGAGCTTTGTCTATCATATTGGAATCTAGTAGCAGTATGAAGATGGAAGGTAAATATTCTATGAACCGTTCCAAGATACCAATACGGTAAGGGCTGCTAATGACATTCTACTATGCTTCAGCTCAATAGGTGACTTGTATTGTGATTGAGAGCTGTTTGAGATTAAAGAATCTTGATACTAATTAGTAACCATCGTAGAATATTCCGTAATAGGTCATCGAAGAGAAGTATTTATTTATAGACTTTCATTTCAGTCTTATCTTATATTTCCAAACATGAATATTGATATACCGATATCGTAATGTATTTTCTATTTCTTTATAAATTTCTAGGGCTATTGATCAATGCTAAAGTACTTCATATAAATCTTTCAAACATGATCATTGATATAGCGGTATCGTAATACATTCCCTATCCCTTCAACGACTCATTGTTGAATCAACCAGTAACGCCAATCATATATAAATACATCAAAATTCACATCAGCTTGACTACAAATCAAGCTACGGCTCAAGCTATACTAAAGGACTCTAGTATTTGAATGCTTGATGCCTCATCAACTTCTCCTTTCCGTTCCTGATTATCTGCTTCAATTCCTAGTAGTTTAGGATAATTTGTGCGCAAGTATTCCATTACCCAAGTTGCATCATTGACCCGATTCTGCTCAAGTAGAATTTTGGCTGCCATCAGAGATATCGAGACCATCTTCTTCGCCTCATTTTTCTCAAATGGTTGTATAAGGTCTTCGCTTTCTGACCCTCTTGAAGAATGTTGTTGTCGGAGGAATTCTAAGAAATGGTCTGCGGATCGATGGTATGGGGAATACAAATCTAAAGTGTGCAGGTCAACGTCATGGATGCTGAACGCTGGCAAAATTTGTTGGAATATCTTAAAAGCTTCTATTGAAGTGGCCTCTCGCACTTGTCGAGAAGACTCGACAATTAAGTGAAACACATGCTGTCCAGGCTCTGTCAAAAGACCGTGAGCCTTTTCGAATCGCAAGTCTTTCGACATGTCTGTTATTCGAAGTAAAATAGAGATTGAATCATTGAACGATGCCTCGAGTCTGGCTGTGAGTGTAACAATTTTAGAAAGGAGGTGAGCCACAGCACGGCATTCAAATTCTGTAGCGTTGGTATTGTGAATGGCTTTGCTTATCCACTCCCAAAATACTTCTTCATAACCTTCTGCACGCATAAATTCAAAGAGAAGAATTGCAAATCTTTGATCTTGCAATAAGAAGTCAATGTTCTGGTTTATACCACTTGACGTCAACCACTTTAAGATTTTGAGTCCGGCGCCTGATTTCTTCATACTTTCTTCCAACGTTTCGTGCGAGGACTGAAGCTGTTTCTTTTTTGCCACCAAAATCGCTTTGGCATAGTTTAAAGTCATCATTCCGCGCCCAACAGCCCTATCAAATGTATCCATTGGATCCTGCGTGGATCCAGGCTCACCCCTTTGTTGCGTTCGTTGATTGAAAAGAGGATTTGTGAGAATGGATTTGATGTGTCGATCGGTGTGCTTATGACCAGAATCTGAGAGGCGCCTGGGCCTTCCATTTTGATGCTGTTTATTGGATTGGGTTGATTCGACATTGCTACTCGTGTGCGAAGGGCCATGCTCCGAGTCAAGCTGTTGTCGGAATGATGTTGTGAGAAGTTCAAGTAATTGTGTAGATTCACGTTGAGTCAAGGGTAAGGGTTGATGAAGCTTAAATTTGAGAAGGGCGGGCAGTTGGCGAAAGAGACTTGGTGGAGTAGTTCGAAACATCGTGCAGAGGACCGGTCTGCGAGCAATAAATTGTTTAAATGCAGTTCCTGAAAGCAGAATGTTTATGGTAATTCGTGTTGAAGATAGAATGATCGACGTAATGCTGCAGGCCCTCTTCTGATTACTTAATTTGCAGTACGACAATCAGATCATGTGATGGTTGAAAGTGGGTGGAATGGTCAAGGGGGAGTGAGCTTCCTCGGTTTCTGCAGTAGGAACCTTTGCACGGTCAGCATGTATGTACACCTCATCTACCACATCTGTAGAGGTGGGGAAGAGAAAGATTGGTAGTGTAATTAGAGGATATACCTAAGTCAAATGATAGGATTTGAGGTATGCCAGCAGCAGTGACTAGGTATCTTTTGCGATAATGATAATCCGCAGAATTTAAGATGTTGTACCAGCAATCAGCGCATGTTCATAATCGTCGTATCCACCCCACTCGTGCCACCCACGAGTCCGCAGCCTCAGCCACATTCTGGATGGAGCTGGAGACCTGGAATAAATCACTGCTTTTTTCGAATTATTCTATCAATTCAATGAATCATTATTTTGATTCATAGTTTAGATAGACAAGATTATCGCTTGTCATTCTGTCCGATTGAAAGCTTTATATTGTAATCGATTCAGTGAATCCAGTAACAAGCACTACAGGGTAGCAATCAATACCCAAGTGCATTCGACCTCGGGAATCCACCATGTGCAATGCTTGAGCCACTCTCCCACTTCCACTCGGCGTCTCCAGGTCACCGTTTCTATTTCATACTAAGCACTTTTCGTCTACCGTGATTTTGTGGTCTTTTGTGGTTTGCTCTTTTTGCCGCCGCCTATCGCCCTTGTTGATAAATCCAGCCAGTCCAACCAATCATAAGAGTTTGATCCATGAAAATGATTGCATAGAGCCAAGGTATTATCTAATTACACGTGACTTTTGCGCTAAAGCAAAGAGCCAAGGAAACTTTTGAACATTCAATTGTAGTAAAGGAATCAGAATTTCTCAAAATTTGAGAGTAAGAAATCAACCATGTCTTGCTATGTGGTGCTCATTTGACTAACTTCAAATAATTATCTATTCTTTTCACTGCAATTTTTTAATTGTGTAACAAACCCTTTTGTTTTCGCATATTAAAATAAATTTTGTTACTTTAAAAATAAACATCGTGGAGAATCCTACATAACTGACGCGACAAGCCGATTTTATTAAAAGGAGAGCTTAAATCTGTGCCCTGTGCCTTTTTTAACCTACCTCACCTAAAATCCCAAACCAAAAGCGTCATTCCTCCTCTCTCACAATACAACGAAAACCCTCCACAATCCAACAATCTCCTACATTTCCCTCAACTCTTTTTCTCCTATTACGTTTTCTCTTGCTTACACAAATACACATAACCTCACAAAATGTCAGAGGTACAACCTAGACCAACGCCTCGTGGCAGAGGTTCAGCTCGTGGTGGTCGTGGAGGTTTTACATCAAGAGCTGGTGGTCGCGGCGGAGCAAGAAGTCATGCAACCAACGAGAACACATCCACTACTGCATCAATTGAGCAAAATAACAGTGAAGTCGTTCAATTAAAGAAGAAGCATGGTAGTAAAGTGAGCACCATCCAAGAATTGTTTCCAGGCTGGACAGACGAGGATGTCGTTATGGCCCTCGAGGAAACCGATGGAGATTTAGAAAGTACTGTTGAGCGCATTTCGGAAGGTAAGAATTTCATTCAATTTTAAGCAATCTTTATCAAGCCTATATTTTCCAAGTATGTTTGCTAACCTCTCACCATCAAAGGTACCATTTCACAATGGGGAGAAGTTTCAAATAAGAAAGATCGATCTAAGTCCAAAGCTCACGATTCAACTTCATCTGCCCCTCTTAATGAGTCAACCAACACTGGAAGAGTTGCCCGAGGTGGTCGAGGTGGATTCGACGGTACTAGAGGACGTGGTCGCGGTAACGAAAGAGGCAGAGGTGGCAGAACTCGTGGAGCTCCAGTTGCGCATACAAATGGTGCACGTAACGAAACTGCCGAAGTCTCTGTTCCTACAACTGAATCCAACGCTTGGGATACTGCTGCCACTACTGAAAACACTACTAAAGATACCCCTGCCGATGCGGAATCTTCCAAACCTGCTGAGGCTGATAACACTTGGGGTGCTACAGCAACCAACGCTGCTGCTACAACTGCGGCCGTTGCTACAAGTGCCGCTTCAACTATTATCCCTGATGGTGTCAAAAAGAGTTGGGCAAGTATGTTTGCACCAGCACCTAAGCCGAAGAAGGCCCCAGAACCCGTGGAAAAGCCTGCAGAGCTCCCCAAGCCAGAGGAACCTGTCGAAGCCCCAGTCGTTTCAGAGCCAGAGCCTTCTGTTCCCGAACCAGAAACTGTCGAAATCCCAGAACCAATTGCACCTGTCGAGCCACCTGTCGAGCCCGAAGCTAATATTAATCTCACCCCATCAAAGGACGAATTGACGGAAACGAATCTTGAACAAGTTCCAGATGAATCGGTTCCACCCCCAAGTGCGACAGCAGCGAGCACTGCTGCAAGCTCCTGGGACCCAAGAAATGCTCCTGGAAATGCTACACCCTACTCAGCATTGCCAACTCAAACTTCAGCTGCTTCCCGTGCTCCAACCAGTGGTTTCCAAGCTTCTGCATTAAAGGCTACCGGATCATCAGGTCGTACACCAAGCTTTCAACGCCGCGTCCTCGACCAGGAAGAAGCTGTCCGCATGCCGGGAAATCGTGAAGTGGATAGAGCTGCTGTACAATTCGGCGCATTTAACCTTACCGGCGAAGATGATGTTGATGGTGATCGTGAAGAGCCAGAGACTAGAGCCCAGCCACCTCAACATTCCCCAGTAGCACCAAGAGCTACTTTACCTCCGGCCCCTCAACAAGCTGCCCCAGTTTCTGAAATCTTGCCAACCCCAAAGCAAGCTCCAGGATTGCCTGCTGCTACTCACCCAACAGCTGCCCCTGGCCTTCCCTCCCCACAAACTCATCCTTCTTCTCAAAGTAAGTTTCGCGCTCAACGTGTTCCCTTAGCAGCTATTAATTATTCTACTTCACAGGTGTACCTCAACAGGGAGCTCAAGCTGGCTCTCAATTGGGTCAATATGGCCGATATGGACAACCAGGATCTCAAGAGCAATCTTCAGTGCCACAGAAGCCATACGATGCATTCAGTCAACAAGCACCAAGCTCGCAAAGCCCATTTGAAGGTTACCCAAGCCAATCTCAATCCCAGGCACAGCAACAATCCGGTGCATTCTCCTCTGCACCCAACGATTACTCTTCTTACTACACCTCTGATCCGCAAAGACAAAACTACAACAGTTACTATCAGCAACAATATAACTTGCAACAAGGTGGCCAAGGTCAAGATGCTTCATCATCTCAAAGATCTTATGGTGGATACAATGGACCCCAAACTGAAACTTCTGGTCAACAATCCCAATCTCGCTATGCAACCGCAGGAGCAGGAGAAGGTCAGAACAGTGGGCACACTACTCCTAATCCAGTAGCTCAAAGCCAACAACAAACTGGTGCTGCTGCTCAAACAACTCAACCTCAACCTAGCCATTCACAACAACCCCAGGGAGCCTATCCATATGGTCATCCTTACTATCAAACCCCATACTACAATGCTTACATGAGCCAATTCCAACAAGCCGGTGGCTACGGTGGCTATGGTGCCTCTCCATATGGTGGTGGAAAGGGTGGCATTCATGGCCAACCATACCAAGGTTACATGTCCCCTGGTGCGCCATATGACCACACTTCTACCCCTGCTGCTGGAGGATTTGCTGGATCTTCTCTCCATGGTCGAGATTCCGCAGTTGGAGGAGGCTTGGGCGACTATGGCCGAGCTGGATCATCCCAATCGTCCCAGACTCCTCAAGCATTAGGTGGAAGTGGTGGATTCGGTGCTGGTTCTCATGATGCATTTAGCCGTGGTGCTTATCCTTCAGGTCAGCACTACAATGCAACTCAAGGTACCCAACCAGGAGCTAGTGATGACTTGAAACCATTCGGTGAATCAAAGACAACCAATGGACCAAGCCCATCTTTGTCCCAAGCTGGACGTCCTGGTTCTGCCACTAATACCACTCCTGGATCAGTCTTGCCACCACCTCAATCCCAACAAGGTGGATATGGTGGATACCCAAGTCATCTTCAAGGACATGGACTCCATGGCAGCCAAGCTGGTAGCCAATATGGTGGTCTTGGAGGTGTTGGAAGTCACCAATCTGCTGGCCAAGGTCACCAGAGTAGTGGATATGGAGGCTACCAAGGTTATGGGGGTTACCAGGGTTTCGGTAACAACCAGCAACGTGGTGGATGGGGTGGCAACTATGGACATTAATTGATTTGGCCAAAAGTAGCTTGCACATCCTTTGGTAACTGTTGTTGATCTTTCTTGAGGGGAAGAATTCGATCTTCATACTAAAATTTAACTGTGTTACTACGACCAAAAATTCATTTTCATGCTTTTATTATTTTCTTTATTTTCATTGTCTAACGACTTGATGCACAAGCAAAAAATCTGGATTGCACATTCGACAAATCTGGATTTATATCAACATTATGGCTGGCTGGATTTGTTTTCACTCTTCTAAAAGGCATACAAATTCATTGTTTTCAAATAGTTATCTTCACGACTCAAATGATGGTTGGGGGTGGGATGGAATGGAATGGGTTCATAAGGATGCATTGCATGATTGTATGAGACTGGAGGGATGCATGAATTGATTTTGAGAGACATGAGGGTGGATAATGAATCCATTGGAGAGAATAGTCAGATAACTAGATGATGGATAGTCATGAACATATCAATTCGATGGTTATTTTGACTACTGCATAGTTTTCTGCTTCATTTTTGGCAATGTGCTTGCTACTATTATTTTTTGTGCTTGTGAAGTTTGAGTGTGATTTTGTTTGGTATGGGTAATTGTATGATGTGATGGTAACTAAGTATGTATATTGATGCAGGATAGTTTTCTGATCTCCTTCCAAATCTTTTTGATATCAACTCTTAATATATCTTTCTCTGTATCAGTTTTTGACATTAGAAATACGTAATGATGATGTATACTCAGCTGTGTATACAATTTGCCAGTCGCAAAATTGTTAGTGGATTAGTTTCAATTTTTAGAGCCAACTCTTTGAAAAGAAGGAGGAGAAGGAGAAGGGAGTGAGAACTTGCTCTTGCGTATTTTTGATTGTGTATGTTCTTCATTTGTTGGATTTATTTCTGTTCTCGTTTTTGTCTTCTTGTTTTTGTCTTCTTCTTATCGTTATGTACTTCCCTGACTCCCTGGCAGTAGCTTGAAGTACTTGGTTTACTTGCTCATCTAGTTACCTATATTGTTTAGGGGAGGGTGGGGAGATAGATGGAAGTTTTCTCGGTGGGGGTGACGGGGGAATGAGAGAGGAGACGAAAACAAATGCGGATTGACTGATGGGCTTAGTATTGAATTGTAAAACCTATAGCTTAGACTGTAGAGGGTAGGTATCTCAATGTACTATAACTCTTCCCATACCTTGGAAAGAGGATGCCAAAACTCAACACTTGTGCACGGCGTATCCTGCAAACATTCAGCTCTCTTTTGAGTGTCTAGGAGCTGAGTTCGAGACAGTACTGCATAGAATCAGCCCGAGAGCCCGGGCGCGATTTATTGAAATTCGGGTTCAAGGCTCAGGTTCATCTCCTTTTATTGGAATTAAAACAATCACAATTTATGCACCTAGAGAAGGTCTGTGTGACAGCCTGATCTAATGACATGTATCCTCTATGGCCTCGAACTGAAAAAGAACGTTAATTCACTTAATCAAGAACTCAAATACAAGGTTAGATTGATAGAGCTTGTTGCCAAGCTGCGGTAACTGGGCTGATAATCAGCAAATCATATGTGACCTCCACCCCTGTGGTTTTGATTATTTGAACTGCGGTATTCAAAATGGGCAAGGTTGTTAATTGGCCAGTGAGTTCGTCAGCTCCCTCTGGATAAGTAATTACACAATTGTGGTGGCAACCCCAAAAAATGAAGAAGAAATTCATTCCTTCTAAATATTTTACAAACGTTGACAAATCGTATTGTTTTCGAAATGGCTAGCTCATGTTCAACTCCTACGATACCTCAGCGCACAGTGGCCGAGAAACGATGGCACCAAGCTTGGGAATCGTTGAAGAAGGAAGATAAAGACGAAATCAAACTAGACCCCACTCGAACGGATTATTTGGATATTCTTCAAGATATTCACAATCTCGCTATCGAGAAGAAAGAAGTATGCATACAAAATGCATGGAAATACAAAAAGAACAATGGCACAACGATAATTGTCAGAGATCTCTTCGAAAAAATACTTGTTTGGGTGAATAAAGTGAAGGATGTCGGAGATGTAATCGTCAGTTACGATCCTGGACATGCCGCTCTCCCTTGGGCAGCAGTGCGATTGCTTCTTACGATTGCAGTTGAAGATAGCCAGTCGCTTGGGATTTTGATCGAGGGGTTGGAACAAATCTCAAAGTTGATCGCCCAGTGCAAGGTGCTCGAAGATCTATACTCACAATCTGCTGGTGATAACACCGGATTTGATGGAGCCTTGCTGGAGCTTTATGTGGCGATTTTGACATTTGAATCACATGCAATTCAAATGTATCGAAAAAGCACGGCAAGCCGTTTAATCTCGGCAATCAAATTGCCATCGAATAAATTACAAGATGGCCTTAAAATGGTGTGGGTCAAACATCAACGAGTTACAGATTGTACCAGATTGATTGACGCTCAATACATTCGTCAATTCGAGGATATTCTTCAACAATTTGAACATCCAATTGTAAGAAGCGCAGCAATTTTGCAAAATTACGAAGATTCTCTAGACCTCCAAGAGCGCGAGACTTTACTGAGATGGCTCTCAACAATACCATACCGAAAACATCACAAATTAAAGCGGAGCGAGCGCCTTGAAGGCTCCTGCGAATGGCTACTAAATTCGGCAGACTACATCCAGTGGAAGGATTCAAGTGCATCGTCTATACTGTGGCTTAATGGAATAGCAGGTTGCGGGAAGAGCGTCTTGACGTAGGTATCGCTAACTGAGATATCAATACAATCAGATTTCTGACAGCATTTGCAGATCCGCGGTGATCGAAAGTCTTTGCCAGGAGTCTTCCAGCATGGGGACTGCGGCTCTGGTTGCATATTTCTATTGTTCTCGTAACACTGCAGAGCCCGAGAGGGCCAACCCCGAAGAAGTTCTGCGTAGTATTTTAGAGCAGGTATCATCAAACACCGCTGAACTTCCAATCCGAAAGCCTGTTGTTGAAGTCTACAAGAATTTGAAAAAAGAGAACCGAGGACTCTCTCCTCAGGAGCGCTTGAGCTTAGATGAGACTACCGAAGTGCTTCTTAAAATTCTTCAAGTGGATCCCTTCTATGTGGTGATCGACGCACTGGATGAATGCGACCCTAGTGAGAGATACAGCCTTATTGAATCTTTGAAAACTATCATTGATAAATCTGCCAGCGTTGTCAAGATTTTCATTTCGAGCAGGAGAGACAATGACATACTCAGTCAATTTGAAGAGTCACCATGTATCTCAATTCAACCTAGTCACATCTCTAAAGACATTGAGAATTATGTCAAGAAGGAAGTTTTCGAGGCAATGGAAAAGAAAAGGATAGTCAAAGGAAAACTTCTGCCAAAAGAAAAGAAGAAAATAGAGCAGCAAATAACTCAAACTCTCATTGATGAATCTCAAGGAATGTAGGTTCATCCACTTCTATTATGGAAAATGCAGTGGCTGACAAAATGAACCGTTAAACAGGTTTCGATGGGTAACCTTGCAGATGCAGCAATTGTGTAAGCAGGTTAGAGTGAAAGGAGACATCGATAGCGTTCTCAGAAAGCTCCCGAAATCGCTAGAAGAATCTTATCATCTTGTTTATCAAGATATTATGAGCATGGAAGAGCCAAGTCAGAAAGTTGCCATCAGGACATTACAGGTATTATTGAGCACGAGGCGAAAACTCATTCTGGATGAGATGCTCGCCGCAGTCACTGTTGAAATTGATACAAACGAAGTCCTGATCTCCACAGTTGATGAGTTGCTAGATGTTTGCTGCAACCTGATAATATTTGATAAAGGAGAACAGATTCTACGCTTTGCACATCTTTCGGTTCGAGAATTTTTGGAAAAATGCGCTCCAAGAGATCATTTCAGCATCCAATCCAGAGAATTGTTCTTGATGAATCGATGCCTTTACATTTTCTTGTATGAATCTCATCACGTCGTCATTTCCAGAGAGCAAGCAGAAGAGATCACTCGACAAAACAGAAGATTTGAGATGTATGCAGCGGAATACTGGCCGGAGCATTGTAAATTGGCGCAGCCCGATGTGGTAACTAGCGAGTTTTTGAAAAAGTTTATCGGTAATGATCTAGATACGGGTCATAGTGCATCATACAAAATGTGGCTTGAAAGGTCGAATTCATTACAGAACATGCCCCAGATTTTCTGTCATATCCACGGATACCACTTTGACCGGGGTGCCCCTCTATTAATCTCTGATATATCTTGTATGTACGGATTGATGGCAATTATCATGACTTTGTTGCAATACAAACATATTAATTGGAATGCACCCATGGCAAATCAGTATGGGCGAGTATATTATCCATTGGTATTTGCAGCTAAGGGTGGACATGTCATGATTGTCAAACAAATTCTCAGTAGATACAGTGGCTACTATGCAAAAGGCAGTCCTGGGCACGATATTTTTTTCATGAGTCTTATCGAAGCTATTAAGACCCCACAAATTGAAGTCGCAAAGATTCTACTTGACTATGGCATAGTAAAGGTTAACGACCAGCTCACGGAAAATTTTATATATATATATACAAAAGTCAAAGTCTTCTTGGCATAGCTGTTCGGAATCGTCGAGAATAAATGGTCCAGTTTCTACTTCGTTATGGGGCTAATTCTAATGGTGAGACCAAGAGCATTATCCCTTCTGTTGAGAGTGTTAAAGATCTTGAAACCTTGAAAGACGATCACGAAATCGTACAAAGACAAAATGCTCAAGGCAATTCACCTTTAGAACTTGCTGTATTACATTGCAATACCCCCATCATAGATGCTCTTTGTTCATTCGGGGCAGATGTTCTGGCCAAAGATTCTTCAGGAGCTACACTTATACACTGTCTAGCTAAGGGGTTTCCTGAGCATATGAGAAACTACTATCCCTGTGTCAAAGAATACGAAAATACTATTGAATGTTTGATACGGAACGGCGTAGATATAGCGGCGATTGATAATTCTCAACGCACAGCCCTGCATGTTGCTGCATGTCATGTCAATGATCTTGATCATCTGGTGCCAGTAATTGTCAATGCCGGTACGCCTATTAATGCACAGAACAACGAAGGGGATACTGCGTTGAATATTTTAGTTACTCGTTCGTGGTTGACAGCTAAAGTGGAGTGTGCGTTTCTTCTTTTATCACTAGGTGCAGATTGTTCCATTCCAAATAATGATGGGCTTACCGCATTAGATAAGGCTCAAAGGGTGCTCAAGGAATTGTATCCAAAACATTACCAACGGCGGGCTTACAGATACGTCGTCGAAAAATTGACTACAGCATCACAAGGTAAAATTGTGGAAGATATTTGGAGATTATTTGTCGATGATTCTTAGGTACAAATTAGGTACTGAACTATTCACCGAAGGTGTCAAAACAAATGACACAACGAGTGCTGAAATCGTGTAAGGTGGTATTGAATATTGAGGGGGCTCTTTTCTCATTCAAGATATATTTGCATATTGAATTTCATTTGAATCTTGCAAGATGATTACATTCCAGGGTTTTCAAACTGCTGTCTAATGGAACAAATGGTTAAGACTTCACTTTAAGATTGCATGTATGCTACGGTTACGAAAGCATTATTCATACGATTACCGTGATGAGAGTGATTCATTGAACTGTATCAAGTAGCTATTGTACAAATAATGGAGTGTTTTTATGTCAAATAATCCGGGATTATTACACAAATTTGAGGAAATTTTGGGCATAGAAGAATTATCTATGGTTTATTCCTAGATTAATATAGCAAATGAAAGAGAAGGTCAGATGAGTGTATATCGTCGATGTCTACATTACTTGGAACATCAAATTCTTGTAGCACTAACGACCGAATCTCCCTTCACACACTCATTCATTATTACCGGATTGAATTGCATACAAAGTCATAGGTACCCAAACCCAGGTAATATGCTATGGACAATCTCCTGAAAGGCCTTAGGCAACCGGAGATATAATCATTCATAACTTATATCTCAGGGTTCCCCAACTCTATAAACCAACTTCTCTCCGCTTAAATTTCCCTCTTTCATCTCTCTCGTTCCTTCTAATATTCCCTTCAAGCCACCATTCATTATCTTCACCGGATGATTTATAATCAGTCCATGCTCCAACAATATTTCCAATAGTACAAAAGCTCTTTTTCCAAGTTCGAAATCTTCAGGTGCAACTGCCCATACTTCACCTTCAATCTCGTACTCTTCGCCAGTGACCGAGTATCCGAGAAAGAAAATATTCTTAACATTATCCCTGGGCATTTCAATACCCATGAAATTTACATAAATATTTTCGCCAGAAGTGGACAGCGCATCGGCACAAATTTGAGCGCTGGATTGGGTGGCTATTGTATCAAAGACGTGGTGAAGTTTGTTCTGAGTAAGCGAGCGAATTTCGGCTCCGCAGTTGGGATCATGCTGGACGATATTAGCATGCTATCTAGTGGTTGAGACAGATGTAGATTCAAAGAAAAGCTGGAAATGATTCAGGGAAGTCTAAAGTCAAAAGTAATCTCCTCTTACATAGTCTAAAACATGATCTGCACCTAAGCTTTTCAACAGCTCAAAGTTCCTTGGTGACGACGTGGTGAAGACTTGCAACCCGGATCTTTCATGGAGTCTATTAGTTATCAATGCATAGTAGCTGGGGAGATAGAACTCACAGCTTCGCAAATTGAATAGCTAATGTTCCAGTTGCAGAGCTTCCTCCATAAATCAAAATCGAGAATTTGCTCTCGGGATTTAGCATAGAAAGGGGAAACGTCAGGAGGGGTAAAGACAGATACTTGTAGAAGCCCAATGCAACAGTTGTAACTCCAACGCCAAGTGATGTAGCTTCCTCAAAACTGATATTATCCGGAATATAGAATGCAACATCGCCTTTGACTACAATGTATGTGGCGAATGTTCCATCCTCAGGCTCAATGTCATTACCTGTGTTGATGTCAGTACTACGTATGAGTATTTTGTATCATCATACTAAGAGCAAACCTCCATGTGCTATCCCCGCGATTCTATCCCCCTTCTTCCATTCTTTATTCACACCCTTGCCAATCTCAACCACGATCCCCGCAAAATCACATCCTAAAAGCGTGGGACCCTTTGTCCTTGGACTAGACTTTTCATCTATGGTTTGCCAATCTGTGGGATTTATTGCAACGGCTATTGTCTTGACAAGAATGTGATCATCCCGAAGTCGTGGGATGGGAATTGGCTGTAATCTCGCTTCTCCGACAGCTGTTTTGACAATCCCGTAGTTCTCAGGAATGGCATTCATTTTGGGTGGGGGTAAGATAAAAAAAACTGAGAATGAAGATTAACAACTCTGAAGATAAATTGTGGGAGTTGTGACAGCTTGATCCGTTCTTATAAGCTACGAAATCATGAAGAAGACATTCGTTGCTGACAATTGTATTTCTTAATATCTGGGCGGTAATTATCAGCGGGCCGGAGTTCGGATAAGGAGTTATTCATCAAGAATTTCGGGATGACTGCATGATCGGTGTTCAGAAACAAAATGGTTTATAAGCGTAAACTGTCAGCATTTGGACTTTCTGTTCAGGTGATCGAGGACGATATGTTAATGGTGGTCTGTGCTCTGATGAACTTTGAGAGGTTCTAGTTGGTGACCTTGATGTGCTGTGTCACGAGGAGGCAGACCGACGGTAATCGAACTATGAATATGTAGAGAAACTTCTTCTATGTGCAATAATAATGCCTGAAAACTTGCAGCTGTATCGCTCTCATGATATCCGACTCATATTTAGTTGTATCATTATCATTTGATTTACTGGAACATCATGTACTAGTCGCAAATGATATGTACTAGCTAGACAAATCTTTGTTTACTTTGACTCATATATTCACATTCTTTCACAATGATGTGTCATTTATTCAAAAGGCTAGACCTAGTTGATGCGACCTGCACCTACTCCATCGCTAAAATTGCCCCACGTTACCCCTAAAACCTTAAAATAAAGTTTAGCGAGAATTTCATTTTTGAAGGAACTTCATCGACTCGCAACTTTGTATTATCATCACTGCACCCTTTAGATAGTCAATGAACTAAGCACTGGCAGAATTCAACAGACTTGAGTATCTAAAATTTACAGTATCTATAAGGTCTCTTGTTAATGTTACAGGGAGCATCCCTCCGCCTGAGAAATGTTTAATCTATTGACTAATGTACATCATTCGCGAAAATGCTAAGTACGTGGCTAGTTCATGTATCTGTACTCGATGCTTCTGCAAAAGAGTGATTTGACTTCATGACTATACTCTACCACTGCTTCAATCAGAAGCCAACACTCTTGATGTCCTCACCAGGGTTGAATGACGTTCATTGAGCTACAGCATATGAAATACAGTGATCCTGGAGATTTTTTGAATATCAAGTTTTCGATTGCTACCTGTGGCTTGTCTCGAGTAGGACTCTATTTTAATTAGACTTCCGAGTTCCCGAAACTTCCGTGAAGCTACTGGCAAGTGACATATATTCAGCAACAATTTACTTAAAATAGGTTAGTTCAGTCACATAAAGGTCGTAGCAAGATTCTGAACATATCAATTAAATTATACAAGAATGATCTACACTGAAACCCAAGTTCCCTCGATGTTTCCTACTAGATTTCACACAGTAGCACAAGGCCAGATGTGCCGGTCGTCTGAATTGTATCATAGGCTTCGAATCCCAGCTAAAAAGCCAGAGAAACAATGCCTCCCACCCACATCGCATTTGACCTGCAGAGACAAGCCCGTCTCCTGCCTGTACGATGTGAGGCCATGTTCACCCGCCCAACCTTTATCCTCCCTTCCATATCATCGCGGTCGTCCTCGATCGGGATCGAAATTCTAGAAAAAAATTAACTCGTTGGTGGTTGGAGCTGACACTTACGTTGAGCATGCTGAAGTGTACTTGGGCCACCACCCCCTATCAGGCAAAGCTGACCCCAAGTAAACTCGCATACTGAAGAAGAAGAAAAGGGTCCGAGAGAGGGGGAGAATGGTGATACTTATAGGCAAAATAATTCTTTTAAACCTTTTAGTGCGATTCTCGAATTTTGAGCAAACAGGACATATATGGCCAAAATTGGTTAAAGTGTACTGCATGAGGGGCATTTCGGAATCTTGCGGCTTCAAAATCCAGCTAATGGCCCTTTAAAAATGCGGAAGTGTACTATAATAGATGGTATTATCTAAAATGCTCCCTAGAAAATGTAATGATATATTTCAAGTGATAGGATTGGTTAACGAGAATGCCCGTATGGTTGAATTAGACAAATCCTCTTGAAAAGATACTTCAAGTGAAAGAATTGGTTACTGAGGGTAGAATGGAAGTTTTCACTGCAACGCTACTCGATTTATTACAAATAAGTTGCAGTCTGGATTGACCGTAAAGATGCTTTGGAGACGTGCTTGGTAGAAATCGAACATATCTCTAGACATGTAGTAGAAGGGGATACTAGATCACATGTTGAGTTATTCCCACGAGAATACGCCAAATGAAAAGGTCAATGTGAATCCATGTCAAGTATGTTGAGCATTGAAATACAGCATGTCATTGCGAGTAGTTACGGAAATGGGGTAAGAAGCTCAGACAATTGGCAGGTACACAGGAGTGACGAGATATGGCATAATTGCACTTTCCTCATTAACGAGATGTTAATAACTCACCTTCCTCCATCTTTTAGAGGGACCGCGGATACAAAAACAATTGCCTTGTAATGTTTTACACTCGATTCTACTTATCAAATACAAAGTACGCTTCAAAATGTTCAGTGCTGATTAGCATACAATTTAAGTTGTGAAGTTAACTCATATCCTTAAGCAATTGGCAACCTCAAGATTGAAGTATGTAATGAAACTAATTATTCATCTGCGACATGCCACACGCTTTCGAACCTTCTCATGATTTGATTTCGCCGCTCTGTAGACGGGACAATTGAGAATAACGCCGGTATTGATTCATGACTCAAAGTCTCTAAAGTCTGAACCATGAATATTGAAGTTAATGGCACTGAATGCAATAATCAAAGAAGCAAGAGAACTCAACCGAAAGCCGTAGAGACAATTATTGACTATGATTATAGACATGCAGAGCCGTATCTCCAAGCCTCAGAACGTCGCGAATCTAAGACGAACACCTCCTGCCTCTATCGCACGACACGGTACTAGCCCTATACTCGATAGAACCAGACAGAAGCAAGAGTTCTCATGGAATCGAGAGAGAGTAACGTGATGCAAAAGTGAACAGAGAGCAATCAATATCGACACACATAGCGGTTGATTATCGCGGCTGAGGGCTCGCTCTATATAAATCCAGAAATTGAGAAGACGATTCATGATTCTATGAAAATACATCACTCATTACATGCAATGGGTGGAGGGCACAATTCTTGCAAGAAAGCTATCATTATACCATTGCGTCTTGGATTTACCAGGCAAGAAAGGAAGAGAATCTAGAATAATAGTACGAGAAACCTAAATCATAAGCTTGCTGAAGCTATGATTGATTATCATATATCAGGTGTTAGAAGAGTGTTCATAATAATACGCACTTGGTAACATCTCGAGAGATTTCGAAATGCAGACGATAGACAATTTGTATGATATGTTCGTCCAGAAATCGAGACGTACAGCAATATTCAAAGAAAACTTCGTTCAACCGCAATGTCATATTCAATGCCAAACGAGCACAAAGGAATAGCTGAGAAAGATGACGAGACGAGCGATACCATGGAATTTCTTAGAAAGACAAACTTTATAACAATATGATACTATCACTCTATCCAAATCGAAAATTCTACCAGAGTTAGAGATAATTTCTTCTGGATGATGCACATATCCATCCTTTACTTCGATTCGTGCGTTTCGCATTATAGATTCAGCCTCGAGGTCGGTTGCTTCAATCTAGATTAGATTGAGTAAATGAATGATACAAACTGCTGAGTTTTTTCTGTAGATGTTTGTCGCAAAGCAATTGTGGAAGCGAAATATTTGTGGGATTTCGATGCGAACTAATTAGCGGCCTGACTGAATAGAAGGAAATGATAAATTCATACGAAAGTAACTAATGCCGACATATGTAGATTAACTAGGTAGAAAGACAAAGCGAATATACGTCACTCACCATAAGGATTTTTAGGTGATCGAAAGTCCATGTCCGCAAAACATCAAAAGCTGTAATCTCACAATCGCTTGCCATGTTGGTAACTGCCAATTATTCGAGTATGGGTGTTGTCGAAGGAAAAATATATATTCTTCTGGAAAGTCATAGTGAAAAAGCTTGCCCTCCGTTACCTGCTCGCAATTGCTTGCTCGCTTACCTTTGAGAGGAAAAGACCATGAGTGGGGGAAGATTGGGTGAACAGTATATTTATTTATTCGAAAGCCCAGATCACCACATCTGGTACTTTATAGCAGAATTCCTCGTGAATCTTGACGAGTGAGCAAGCGTACGTACTTGTTGAACAGGGAAAACCGATAAAATGATACATCGATGCAAATTGAGAATTACTTCAAAAATCACCAGAATAGATTGGGGAACAGCCAACTTCTTGACTTGGGATTATGAGATCTTGAACGTCAAACCTTTATGCGGCAAATCTTTAATGTTCGAGGTGAAGTGGAAAGATAAGGTTGTTCTAGACCGATTTGCCCCCTGCCCATTTGATAAAATTCCGGAAACAGTTGATTGGCGAATAGCTACAGAAATACACGTGCATTAGTGTATCCTGATTTAGCGATAAGAAATAACACATGTGAATTTGGAGTTGCTTGGCTCATCAATTATTCTATTCCACTTATAATATGAATTCTCTGAGTCAGATAAGACATTTCATGATGACCGAAGAACAGTCCATTTCAACATTTGAATATGAGCCTCTAGATATCGACAAAACAACTGCAATCCGAATTTTCATTCTTAGTGGGGGTTCTGGCGATTCTCACATTAAAAGTTCGATCCTCCACATAGACCTGAAAGATCCCTCGGGTACGATAAAATATGAAGCGTTGTCATATGAGTGGAAAGTAGCCAGTAGCGATGACCCATTAATTCTTGTGGATGATTGCGAATTTCGAATTCGAAAGAACCTATACGATGCCCTCATGGAATTAAGGTTTGTTGATAAAGATCGGTATATTTGGATTGATGCTCTATGTATCAATCAATCCGATCATCTGGAAAGAAATCGTCAGGTGCACATCATGCAAACAATTTACAAGAAAGCACAAAGAGTCATTCTCTGGCTAGGTCCTGCGAAAGATGATAGTGATCTTGCAATAGAGATCCTGAATACGATGGAAAGTGCCCGTGTAGGGGAAAGACAAATTGCCGAATCACGACATCGAGATCGTAAGGATTGGCGCGCAGCACTCCTGGCCTTGTGTCAAAGATCATACTGGCACCGAGTCTGGATGATGCAAGAAATATGCCTCGGTCGAGAATATCTAGTATGCTGTGGTAGTAAGAATGTCCCTGGTGATATATTCGACGAAGGCTTAAAGAATTTGGCGAGATCTAGAGATCATGGAGATACTTGGAACAATACAGTGAAAGAAACTTTGGCGGTGCGACATATCACTATGTTTAGATACTGGGCACAAAGAGGACAACTCTTCCGACTGGGCCAGTGTATGGACATATGTTTGGATAGTTTCATTGCCACAGAGCCTCGAGATTTCGTATATGGAATACGTGGTCTTGTTAGTGATTGTGGGAATGATGAGCTGGTTCCTGACTATCAAAAGTCCTTGAAACAAGTATTCTTCGATGCAGTTCCGATCTTGAAGCGATCCTCGAGTTCATCAGCACAAGTCATCAGTAAGTTGGCAAAGAAGCTCGACTTGACTGAGGATGAAGATGTGCAACTTTGCTTGTTAGAAATGAATGATAGCAACAATGAATTCGACAAAGTTCAAAGAACGACTCAAAATGAGTATCCTGGAGGGATGAGGAAAAGGCTCCAAAGGAGAAATCGGAGAAGTATGGGAAATTGGAAGAGTGGTAAGGGAGACTATGATTGGCAGCTTGACATAGACGAATCTTAATTCCCAGATTCATAACACTACCGATGGGTTTGAATTGTTTCGTAAGTAAAGATAACATTGTGGGTGTGAAAATAGTTCATCCTGAAATGGTGGCACTTCTGCTTTTACCTCTATGCATTTGTGTTTAAGCCGTGCCGAGGGACATGGTACAAGGGTTCCTTCGAAATGGACTGACTGTTGCTCAGCACACTTCGAATATTCTTGCTGGCTTTTATAATTTTGCGGTGATGAATTTATCATCAAATTCACCTCGAACAAATTCCTTAAAGGGTCCACACATAACCGTTAAAGCGGCAATTTGATCAGCCCATCATGCTCATTCACTGCCTCCCTAATCCCTTTATTCATGGCGGACTGTCTATTAAAATTGGAAACAAACTTTCATTTCTTCAATCGATACAACTATCTGTAACATAAGTTTCGAAATAACATACTTAACGGGTCAAGTACATTGTCAAAGATGGACAAAGACATAGAGTGAGTCAACGCTACGCGACGAATATTCTTGCTAGCTAACAAACATCGAGGCACATCTATACCGAGGGAACGATCTTGGAGCTGCAATCAGAAAGCAGCTCAGATAAAGAATCCGATAGAGATACTGTTTCTTGCAAGATAATCAGATTTTTCGAGCCACCAACACACTCCTGTGTCATGGAAGTGGAGTTACTGAATCAGCCTGACAATAAACGGGCCGCGCTCAAAGTTTTTGACCGACGATTCGCGTCTCAACTCCGATTGGATTACAGGGTTGGCTCGTCAACTGTTGCTAAAGAGACCGCGTTTGTTGAATGTGTTGAGAGTGGTGATGCTTCACAGTTCGTAGATCGACTGAGAAACGATGAGGACTTTGAGGAACCCGAGGAAGGCTGGAACATGAGGCAAAACGGAGCTTATCTTTACGATCTGTGTCTTGATATGTATGAGGCTGAGTCGACTGTGTATCAAAGACTGGAAAATTTGCAGGGCAAAGAGATCCCACAACTGTTGGCACAATTCACATTGCAAGCAACCGCGGCACTGGACACAGTTCTAGACAAGGTTACCAAGTTCTTTGAGGTAAAAGGTGTTCTGATAGAGCTCATCGATGAGTATACACTATCAGACCTGCCAACCAAAGCGCCAAAGGAGTCCTGGGGTGATATTTGCAACGAGGCAGTGCGAGTTATACGGCTTCTTGACGACTACTCAATTCTGAACGAGGATGTGAGGCCTTCAAACATCATGATCACGAGGCAACCTACGCAGGATAAGTATCGTGTTGTCATGCTGGACTTCGTGCATTGCATTTTCCGAGAATCTGGGGAGACGAACAAACAATGGGGCAGGAGAAAGTGGAACCAGGATGAAGAGGGTGCTATTGGACTGGTAATGAGATACAGATTGAAGAAGCTTGACTATGATTTTCCGTTCGAGCATTCCAATCATTTTTTGGAGTGAGCAGAGACAGAGTTCCCATCAGAGGATGAGAATGAGGGCCATTCAACTTCAAAGTAGCTGTTAGCACCCTTACCAGAATATCATTCATGACGTAAATCTTGCGCAGGATGAGAATGGGCTTGGATTAGTCAACCAGACTTCAATGTTCAGAATAGAATGGGAATTTGAGGCTTCGTTGTTCAACTTCAATTAGGATAATAAAGGCTCAATGTTCGAGATAGAGAAAAGACTTGAGACTTCATTGCTCAAGTTTAAACTGGGCAATCAGGGCTCATTGTTCAAGCTTAGATGGAACAACTCAACGTGAATATTCAAGAATCATCAGAATACAAATTATTGAATTTTTCGCAACATAGGCAGGTGTGCTTGGAAGCCTAGGAGAAAGTCGATATTTCAAGGGCTTTTCGGCAGTCTTTGTATACCTAAATGAATTACATATTTGTTTTCTTCGATAGTAAACCATATGTTCTTGGGTGCACTGGACAAGTTTTGTCCTCTCGGAATACCTTTCCCCTCTCCCTCTTTCTACCCCCCCAGCACCGAAGGGCCCCCAAAACAAGTGATTTTACATCATTATATGAAACCATTTGGACTGCGTGTTGCTTTAACCTCAATACGATACAACGGCCTAATCGCAAACACATAGCCTCTCATGGCATACAAATGCAAGAACCTCGGCAATATGAGTCTCGCACAGGCTCTACAACACACACCAAGTGACTTTTCCGGTCCTGCACAGATGACTTTTGAGTTCAAGTCACACCTATCCCACATGCCATTTCGTCGTAGTAACATCTGGTAGTAATGTTTGTGGTGGTGAAAGGAGACATAGATTCTAGTGTCTATCGTACACGTTGCTTCAGAGCTCACTTCCCCCCCCTGCCGTAATGACAGCCCCCAGGGGTGTAGATCATAACATGTCATCATGTGACAAGAGTAAAATATATGGTTCAGATTTGGGGTGTACACATGTTATTATCCGGAATACCAAGAACTCATCTGAGAATCTTGGCATAATGATTTTTTTCCCTAAGGCTTCAAAAATTAGGAACTTTCCATAACCGATTTCTCCACTATGTGCACGTCCCTACTACGTGCACGACTTTGAAAATATCAATATTATGGCTTCAAACATTAATAATATGCTTTTAGAGGCTTGTATAGAGCTTGTATTAGATTATTTGAAAGAGGTTTAAGCTTCTAAATATATTTAGATAATTAATTTCTTTAAAATTGATTAATCTATATTCTCCCAGTAATATAAAAATAAAATCATTTCGAAAAAATAATTTCTTTTTAATATAAAATAAGTGTTTTTTAGTAATCAAAAGGAAGTTTTAATTAATCAAATTAATAAGTTAATATAAAGATTTATTTTTTTTATAAACTATATAATCAGAAATCTTGCAGAAGAGATTCTAGATAAAGAAATAGAAAAGAATTGGATTAGTAATTTTGTTAAGAGATATTTAATATATTTTAAAAATTAGTATTTTTGTTATATTAATAATTTGCATATAAAAGCTGATAATATTATTATATTTAATTATTTTTATAATTTAGTTTAAATTATTTTCTATTATTGTTGATTTTTATTATTTAAAATACTTTTACTAATATTCTTCTTTTTTTAATTTAATTGATAAAAGTAATTATAAAATATGATATATAATTGAAAAATATATATAATTAGAATAAAAAAGGCTTTATAATTAGTATAAAAAGGATTATAAAAAGAATAATAAAAGCTAAATAAAATAAATTAAAAAAGTTTATTATTTTATTAATAACTATATATATTAATAGAATAATTCTTTTTCTCATTTTTATTTATAAGAAGATTTAGAGAATCTATAAAATATATAGATTTAGGATATAAGAAAAAAGAATAAAACTTATTTTGGAATCTCAAATAATAAGTAATTATTAAATGCTTTTAGTCTTTATTAGTTTTAATAAATATATTTTTGATTCTAGTAGTATATCAAAAAGTAGATGAAAAATATTATTTTATTTATTATTAATAATTATTCTAATTATATTAATATGGAATTTCTTTTAAAATATAATAAATTAAAGGATTAGTATTTTAAGTCGTCCCCTGATTTTAGATATCTAAGTATAACCTTTTGATATTAGAATCTTTAATATTCTTTTTAATAAATTAGAAGTATATTATTAAATAAGTTAATATATAATAAACAGGAAGGACAAGTATAATAGTAATAAATATATATTTTGAAATATATTTAAAAAGAGTTGAGGAATTTATTTTATAAGCATAGAATATCTTAGAATTTCTTCCAAAAAAATGAATATTATATTCTATAAATAAAAGTTTTATAGGTAAGTATATTGTTTATAAAGGCTTTTTCTATATTATGTATATTATTTAAATTTATAGGGATATTCTTATTATACTGTATATATCAAAAACAATATATAAAATGAAATTAGAATTTTATTATACTTTTATTTATAAAATTACTTTAAAGCTTTTTAAAATTATAATTATATTAAAAACTGAAACTTTTATATAAAAATATAAATCTAAAGGTTTAAAAAAGATTTTAAAGTTTGAAAAAAGAAAAAGAGTTTATTCAAAATATTTAAATCTTATTGGAAAGGAGGGGAATAATATGTTTTTATAATTATTCTTTATTATTATTAAAATTAAAATATTTAAAAAGGAATAAAAAAAGAAAGCTAAGCTTTAAATCAAAGCTGAAAAAAAAGTTAAAAAGAAATAAAAGAAGATTGAAATAAAAGAGAGAGTATTATAAAGGGAGATTAATTATTAGATTATATATAATATAAAAAAGAAGATTAAAAAGATTCTAAAATTAATGAAATCTTTAATCAAAAGAAATAAAAAGTTTTCCAAAGCTTTTTTTATTATAAATCTAATATTAATAAAGATTATAGAGCTCTTTAATATTATAAAAACTAATAATTTGAAGGAAAAGAAGAAAGAGATTATATTGTGATTTAATAGAAAGTAAGCATTATGAGTTTTATTAAAATTCAAAATCTAAAGATTTTATTATATTTTTAGATAATATTATATCTTGTTATTTATCAATTAAATTGCTAGCTCTTTATCTTATAAATTGGAATTGTTATTAATTTTTAAAGTGATTCAAAATGGGTGATCAAGATCGTGCATATAGCAGGGACGTGCACATAGTAGGGAAATCGGTTACTTAGCTTGTTCCATAAACTTAAGAGCCCCAACTGTGTAAATCTTCCAGGGGAGGGCTAGTACTTCAGTCGCAAAGTACACAAAGCCGAAATTGCCTTTTGAACGTATAACTGTTACTGCTAGGCATTTAGATATTCCATTGAGAGAAAGATGCGTAATCATAAGTTCAACATGACATAATCAATCAAATTGGATAAACTGGACTTGTGACAAAATCGATGTCACTAGCATATCACGTGTTTGAGAGCTACATCACACTAAGTGGCGTGATCTTCATTCCTTAGCAACTTACTACAATTTACTATGATACAACAAACGGGCATCCAAGTCCACCCGGTAAAAGAAACCCCCCCCCCCCCCGGCTTTACCGAGACCAAATAAGTCGATCTTACATACCGAGTATGAATCAAAACCAGGAAAAATCTTCGAATCGGCAAGAAGCCGTCCAAGTAGACGTGAGGCTACAAATGGGGTTTTTTAATCATTCTTAGATTAATGAATACCAGTATTCGGACCGTCACACGGATACATACGCCTCTCAAGAGAGAGTGGCTATTGATGCCTAGCTCACCGAAGTCGTAATCACTTGATTACGCGTTGCCGGCATGCGGTATGTGGGAAGAGGATCGAATCGGATGAGTCAACTGGAATATGGGTCATGAGTTCACGTTCCACGAGCTTTCAAAATGGAAAGTATACTCTGACTAATTTGCACCGGACTTGGTTGTGAATGTAGGGGCACGGGAAGACGCGTGAAAGAGTTTCGCGTATGTCGCCGGATTAGTCGAGCCCCTCAACGGAAATGGCTTTTTCATGGTAAGATATAGATTACCAGCCTTGAAAACCATGACACGTCATTAAATCAAGACTCAAATCAAGAGAAAAAATGAGTTCAGGTATTACAGCAGTTATTACCCCGCCACATAGACATCCGGCTCATCGTATATGTTACATTCTTTTGTTTGTCTACATTCAAGACCCCAGTAAAGCCTTACTTTGTCATACCACACCGTCTGTCTCGACAAATCTCTGAGCAAGTTTGAGATGAGGATTTTTAATTCACGGATCATAGCATCGGGATTATGTATTGAAATCCCAAAGTAGTCACCTCCTCGCATTTGACAACAGATTTTCAAATTATACGCGGCATTTTTGCCTCGTGAGGTTACACGAGATACGTATCTTCGTACTGTACAATGTTACACCATCCAAAAAGTTGAAGTGCATCCTTCTTGTGTAAGTAGGAAAATGCCGTGGCTACAAACGGCACTCAGATGCTCAGCGAGAAGTAAGAGTTGAGGCCCCGGCTTATCGCACACCACCCATTTTTCGGTCTAATTTTTTAAAATTTAATAATAAATCAACCGTATAATATAATCTTATAAAACTTGAGTATTATATTAATAAATAATAGTTAATCCTTATATTTTAATTATATCTTCAATTTTGCAAGTTAATCTCTCAGTATATAGCCTGAAATCTAAGGGATTCATTTTATTCTAAAGAACTTATAATTCATATTTCAATTCCTTTATAGAAGTAGATACAAATAATAACTTTTTTAATTCCTTTTTCATTTATTGCTATACTTTTTCAATTGAATTAAGATTCGAAGAGAAAAATGATTAATTAAAGCTTTATATATTATACTTTAATTAAGCTTTATAGGTATATTCGGAATATACCTTAGAATTATTCTTTATAAATATATATTTAGGTTTTAGTTTATTGAATAATAAAAATATAATAAATTCAAGGACTTATTGTATATATATTTTAAAGATAATACTTTTATTATCCTCAAATTTTTTCAAAAAAATCAATAGAGATTTATAATTCTAATTGATTATATCCTATATTATTATTAATATTCTTTTTAATTGATATATTAATTTAATATAATTAATATATTTTTTTTATCAATTTATTTAGTAATCTATATTCTATTTGTTTTTCTAATTCGAAAATACTTTTATTTAATTATATAATTAGCTTTTAATTCCCTCTTTTTGATTTAATAATAATAATATTATTAGTTTCCTATTAGTAATATTTATATATAAAATCTAATCTTTTTTTTGCTTATATTTTTGAGATAAAAGGTTTAGAATATATTATATATTTTTTATACTTATATCAATATAATTTTTTTGAATTATATATATTAAAGTTTTAATATCAAATATATTTTTAATTTGTTTAAAAAAAAAATTTGGTTTTAATCTTTAGTAATTATTTTTATAATTTGATAAATTTCTTTAATAATTATTATAAACTTTTAATAAACTTTTTTTTTTGAGTTTTTTTAATTAAATCAAATTCAATTATATTTTTTATAATAGATTATGATATATTTAAATTTGAAGCGATTTATTTTTCGGACTTTTTATTAATTCTAATTCGAATAATTCTAGAATATTAAAGAATATATTAATTTTAATAAAATTTATAATTATTATTTTTATAATTATATTCAATATCTATTTTGAATTTGAGTTGAAAATAATAAATTTTAAAATAATAATTGAATTTTTAAAATAAGATATGTGAAATTAAGTGGCTACCCTAATTTCGCTTAAATATGCGATAAGCTGGGGCCTCAACTCTTACATCTGACCTTGGGTTTATATAATCCACTTCATCACCCAGGTTTAAGTTTTTTTTGTCCTTCTTCAATTATCTTTACTGTTCACGCAAGGAATGGCACGCCAATCTTCCATCATTCCAAGGTCATTGTTGACCGCAAAAGTCACATTGTATCTCAGTCTTTACCTTTGACAACAGCCGCAGTCTCATACTTGCATTGAGAACCTTGATTTACCTTTCCCTATCAGTCAGCATTTACAATTCCACTTAGTTTTCTGTGGAACATTCTCTCAACTTGTGGAAGATCAACATCTTGATAGGTGTTATGAAGTAGAAGTCATGCAGTTTGTCATTCCTCACATTGTTCATTTGAGATTCAAGACTAATCTTGTCAACAGGGACTACTAGCAGGCCTATTGTCGATTGAAGGGCTGGCTCTTCCATGAGTCGCGTGTGAGGTACTGGCTATCTTCGATTCACACAATTCTGCCCAAAGGAGGCTCAGTGCAAATTCTGACCCGGAACGTCCTGTCAGGGTTTCTGCCAATCGTGGCCGGCACTTTGTCTCAGAACCACATCAATTCCTCCTTAGTTGGAGCATCGGACTATGCCATTGTTTTATCGTTCTAGAAGATATTCCTAGAGCGCTTTAAACTCTTCACCACGCGTCAGGATACCGTTAGTTAGAGCTCGATCTAGCGACATCGCATTGTCGAGCACGGTTTTCATCGTCTTGACAGACTGGCAGAAGTTTCTTCCTGGGCGATAACGCTCGATAAGTTGTACTCCGGGTCAAGATCGTGGAGCTTCAGCCTCAATGTGGTAGATCTAGTGTGACGATAGACAATCCGGAAGTATGTGTTGTTTTATTCCTTTTTCTTCAATGACGAACAATTATCAGGCCTGTGTACTAACTAGTTAATAGCCATCTACCAAATGGATTTCTTAGTCACCACTTCTCCTCGTGGCAATTTCTTGTGACTATGTCCACTATGATCCAAGAATCTCTTGAGGAATCACGTTTTGCAAAACTCGGCCAAGGCGGAAATGTTTAGATACTCCTGCCCAAATGGAACATTAAATCACAAGTCGGCCATTCTTGGGTACTTCCTACGGCATCTACTGTTCTGGTGTGGCATAGCCATTCTATAGAGTGGAGTATACGTCATTCGTCCGCCAGCCCATATATCCTGCAACAACTTTCCTCAACGAACAAGAAACTCTTCGCACATAGATATCATCGCAAATTATATTCTTCAGTCAAAGGCCACAACTATATCTCTGGATAATACCCTGTATTCAACCTCCGCATTGGACTTGAGAGCAAGTCAGCGAGGAACTTCAATCATATACAAACGTCATCACTTAGGACACTTTATGTCCATCGGACTTGAGAGCAAGTCAACGAGGAACGTCAATCATATACAGACCTCATCACTTAGGACAAATCACACACTCACTGTATTACTCTCCATTGCATTCTCCAAGAAGTTCTTTCAGCTCCTCGTAGCAAACCTTTCATCGCTTCACCGAGAAGTTACTTCCAAGATTTCAACACTCCACTCAACCTCACTTCTCATCCCGTCCCCGAGAAGTTACTTCCAACTTTCAACACTCCGCTCAACCTCAATTCTCATCATTTCCTTCGAGAAATTACCCCAGTATCAAAACATTCCTCTTCAATTATGTCCGTCGGCATTAACCCGCTATAATATCGGCGTGATTCTATTAAAAAGCATTCAATGACCCAGTCGCTGTTCAGAGAGCTTGTCGCAAATACATGCTTTGGGGTCGAACATAGTTGACGAGCATCTTGAAGACGACCAACCTGCCGACAGTCACCTATTCCAACTAAACCCACAAGGGAGCCATGGTCGAGCCAGGTGTACTATTCGTCTCTCCAAACCGATAACTTCTTCGGCCGGCATCATCCAGCATACAATGAGGTTCGGATTCTTCGGTACTGCTCACGAATTAATCAATGCTATGAGGAATACTTCTGGCAATGGAAATCAGGAATATCCTCGATTTTTACACCCATATCGACACTATTAGCTCGTTTTGGGTGAAGGATTCCTTGCAGAATACAATGAAGAACCACTATAAGACTCAAATTTGAAGTCAGAATGTCTGACAACGTGTCTTCTGAGGGTACTCGAAGAGAATCCGGGCAAGCCGAAAGGGCTTTTATTCGTGTCAAGGAGATGAGAGAGGATCCTGATGTTGACCGCTTAACGTACTTGCATAAAGCTTTACAGAAATTGGTCGCAAAGTTATCGACGATTATCTCGCCATCAGTAGTTGCATTTGAGGAATTTGTTCTCTCGGAGAACGGTATTCCGAAATCCATCTCCTCCCGAGAACGTACGCGACGTCGTTTCCCGGCATTGCCAGAAGAGCGAGTTGAAGATTATTATGACAATACTGGGAAAGGGCCTGTTCACCGATAAGAAGAACAGGATTTTGATTGTCCACCGCCGCTGCATTTGCCGCATTGTACAATATCTCTGTATTGTAGGTGCTTGAGTCAAAATTGACTCTTTACCTGAATCATTGTACGCTTGTATGACTAGACGGGATTTTTCGTATGGGGATTCTGTCGTACGTCCTTTAAGTTCGTTCACAAGACGTGAATTGAACAATCTTCCAGTATGTACGAGGGGATTGTACTTGACAAATTCAAAGACATCTCTAGCAATGAGATTATCAATCTCTTCCTCTTCACTACCTATATCAGAATAATCTGAATTCAAAAGGGAATGGATGGGCTTGCTTGGTTTTCCTTTTGGAGCTAATTTCCAGAAGGCAAACAATAAACCCAGGATCCATTAAAAGCACAATGGTTTTCATACACAAACATGGCTGCAAGAGTTCCTACAAACGAGAGAATGATGGAGACTTTTGCGGCGTTAATGTGGATGGAATACCAAAAGAGGGTTGCATAGGCCTTTTTGGCGTTTGGTTATGAAGCGATGTGTTGGGTAGTAACAATTATTTATCCGGGTATGAAAACATCTGGATTCTTTGTACTTGTTCAAACCTTGGGGATGCTTTTCTTTTAGATGGCATTTGGAAGGCCAGTAGAGGTCGTCCAGGATGTCGAGTTGGGAAGAGGGGTCGTTCCGGAAAGCAGGGTAGAGGGGGAAAGAAGAGTGGAGGAGGCAGATAGACATTTCAAGTCTAGACGTGCATCTATTTAGGAGACATACATTAAACGACGAATGTTCTGCCTTAACAATCATAGCACCAAGGGTCTCGCATTACGACACCCCGCTCGTAGCGAGAAATCACCTCTCATTGCTTCCCCGAGAAGCTCCTCCTGCATTACGAAATTCTTCTTCAATCCCTCGCTCCGTTGGAGATAAATACTAATTAATCGACGACTTTCTCGAAAATCAGGCTTTATGCAGATGCTCATATATTACTTGACATCTGAGCTCAAGGCCAAAGAGCATAAGTGGGGGGAGAACACTAGATTTTAGCTTGATCACTCGAATACGATGGCTAGATTTTCAGTCTTCGTTGTACACTAAGATTCGAGCCTTCATCGAAAAATGCCAAAATTTTCAGAGAAGGAAGTGGCGGAATGAGTGTGAAACGAGGTGATCATGCAATGGGAAAAGTGCTGGAGAGATAGATCAAAAGGATGTTGTGAGTAGTGATTCTTAGAATCTAAACCAGAAACCAATTTCTTTGCAACGAGCCTGTGGTGATCCTACTTCCAAATTACCATTCGATTGAAATGTATAATGCTGGACAATCGATAAAAAAGTGTCTGGTATATTTTTCAACGTAGACAGCATTTGCTTCGCGGATCTCGCCTCTTTTGTCGATCCACATTGTCAGGGTTTACAGAAGAAAAGACTCTCCCGTTACACATAAATTTCAAATCGTCGTCTCTCCATTTCTTGAAGCTAGCGATGATATGCAACGAGTTCACGTCCCAGAAAAAGCATTAAAGGCTTTGCAGAACACATTCAAAGTTAGAACTTTTCCTTTTATACACAGCGCTTCACGATCTCTCAGCACTAATCAAGACCAATTGGAAGGAAAGTCTTCAGCCTTTCCATATTCATACATCCAATTGATCGATAGATCTCGTCTCTCCACCTGTTTGCTAGCAGATTTGCATATTCGAGATCAGACCTAATACTCATATCCACTCTTCCTTTCCCATACTCTTAATGAGGTTCGTACTATCTGGCGTGAATACACCACCAGCGATATCAATCTTCAGGTGGACAGGCCAATGTTGGTCAACGAGCATTTTGAGGGGTTCTTCCCTGTGCTAGGCAAGAATGGGAATCTCGGAATGGATATAGCTGGGTTGGATGGCGAAATCTAATCTGGGGGAAAGATCATTATGAAGACCTCGGGAGCGGCAGCAAGCTCGTTGTTGGGGGTTGCTCGGAAGGGAGTTGCTCGGAAGGGAGAAGAAAAGGTCGGATTGGTGCTGAGGGGAATGAGGGAAAGATGACATGGAAGAGACATCGGAGAAATAGAGCAGTTCTAACCTTCATCAGAACCAAAAAAAAAAAAAAAAAAACCAAGCTCCATGAATATCTTTTGTGATCCCGTGAAACCTCGTTGTGATGTGATATTGGAAGTACCTGTGTGGATTTATTCGTATTGCCTTCTTCCAAGTTCTTTTGTTCGTCTCATCTCATCTCTATCCCCTATCCTATCCCTCATCTCGTCTCACCTCACCTCTCATTCTACCTCATATCTCAACTTCATCATCTCCACCCCTACATCCATACAATACCCTCTGAGCGAGAAAACACACAAAATCTTCTCATATCATCTCACCCATTCTCAAATCTATAGATATTTTCCCTTCCCTTTCCATAGAGTTGTAACCACAATCATAACCACTATCCAAGTAACCATACAAACCAACCAACCAACCATACCCATCTCATCTCATATCTATTATCTCATTATACCAATCTTTCATCCTCATCTCCATTTTCTCATCTTCATCTCACCTACAATATCCCTCCCTTTTTATCTATCTCTATTTCCCTTCTCTCTCCCTCCACCTCTTTCTCTATTTCTATTTCTATCCTTTCCTTATTTCCATCCCTCCTTTCTTCTCTCTTCATACACTCATCACCGCCGCCACCAACATCCCATCCAATTCAATCCAATCCAATCCAATCCAATCCACCCATCCATTCATCCCATCCCATCTCCACATAACCAAATCATCCACCTACCTAAATATTCAACTTCCTCAATCCATCCCATCCCATCCCACATGCCCCTTCTCCCTTCTCCCTTCTCCCCTCCCCCTCTCTCCCTCCAAAACCACCATTCCCTTCCTCTATATCCATTCCACTCTCTTCCCTTCGAATCTCTACTCCCTCCCTCTCATCACCTTTCCCACACTCTTGCTACCCACACTCCCTCACTTCCTTTACCTTCTTCCTCCTCTTCTCCTCTCCTCTTCTCCTCTCCTCTCTTCTTCTCCTCTCCCCTCCCCCCCCCCCTCCTTCCTCCCTCAACACACCCTCTTCAAATTACTCCTTTTATCATCTTCATACCCCCCATCTCTCCCATCATATCTCTCATTCTCCCCCTTTCAACACTCTACACTATTCTCTCATAAATTCCAATACCCAATTCCTTATCGATCCATAATCCCTAATCCCTCATCCCTCATCCCTCCACCCCCCCCCATCTCACCTCTCATCTCCTACTCACTTCTATGCGCCCTATCCCAGTATATGGTGATCCCAAATCTTCACAATCCCTGCAATTCTATTCCTCGGTATCATTTTCAATCATATCTTTTCTCTGCCCCTTTTTTTCTCTTCTTTTCGAGATATCGTCATATCAACTACTCAGCTATTAGGTATGACATACTATTTCGTTTCCTCAAAGCACCCAGACGTCACCCCATCTACACACACCCACTCACCGATCATCCCAGATCTCATATTCCAAGATCCCCAATACCAATGAAACAATTCAAACTCCCCTTGCTTTCACATTTATTCTCAACCAAAAAAATAAAATCTCCAATAGAACTTCATAATGAACAACATTGTATTGATATCGTATTTGCATGCTTGCAACGCTAAAACTACTTTTCACAACTAATTCTTCTATTTTCAACCCCACATGTCCTTTAGACCAACTTAAGTCTTAACATCTGGCTCGGTTCTACCGATATACTCCTTAAACTTCAACAACTCCACAGCGAAGTCTACATTGTCCTTCAAGAATACTTGAGCATCTTGACCATAGGTACTCTTATCATCTGTATGCTTCTCAATATACAATCTGATAGTAGCACCCGAAGAACCGGTACCACTGAGACGAACAACGATTCGGGATCCATCAGAGAATTTAACGTAAAGACCTTGGTTGGGGGAAACGCTGCCATCGAGATCAGTGTAGGAGAAGTCACCAGCGTCAGAAACTGTACGGTCTGTGAGGAAATTTGTGAGTTACTTTGTCATGATATCGAAAAACTGACAGAAAAAACTTACCACCAATCTTACTGCCAATGAATGAAGAATCCTCAATCTTGGCATTCAAATCCTTAACAACCTTCGCAGCACCCTCACTGCTAACATCCTCATAATCATATCTAGTGAAGAAAGTACGTCCATAAATAGTCCAAAAATCATGTTGAATCTTGGCAATACTTGGAGTAACACTTGGATCCTTCTCACCAATAGCGGCGATAATGTTCAACCAAGCAACGACAGCCCAAAGACCATCCTTCTCACGGATATGGTTTGATCCAGTACCGAAAGATTCCTCACCACAGATGGAAAGTTTATCAGCATCGAACAAAGCACAGAAGAATTTCCATCCGGTAGGAACTTCGTAGCAGTTAAGACCTTGTGCTTTAGCAACAAGATCGACAGCTCCAGATGTTGGCATACTGCGGGCAAGACCGTAGACACCTTGTTTCTTGAAGTATGGGATAGTTTGTGCATAGTGAGCAATAATTGCAAGACTGTCACCAGGGGAGACGAATGCATTAGCTCCGTAAATCATGTTACGATCTCCATCTCCATCACTAGCAGCACCGAAGTGAATCTTTCCCTTATCAACAGCCTCAACAAGTGAGTGAGCGTAGGTCAAGTTAGGATCTGGGTGACCTCCATTGAAATCTGGTGAAGGAATACAGTTTTGGGTGCTAGAGCTTGGAAGACCTAATTCAGTCTCGAAGATAGCCTTTCCGTAAGGACCAGTGACACCGGAGAGGGCATCGAAAAGAACCTTGAAATCGGTGTGTGATTCGAAGAATTTCTTAATGAGAGGGAAATCAAAGATATCCTTCAACATCTCAACATAATCGGCACATGAATCAATAATCTCGACCTCCAATGAACCGTATGTTTTTGTACCAATTGTAGCAATGTCGACCTCTGGGATATCGGCAATCTTATATTCGGTAAGAGTTTTCGAAGCTTCAAAGATCTTGTTTGTAACTGATTCTGGAGCTGGTCCACCATTTGCGAGGTTGTATTTGATACCGAAATCGTTCTTTGGACCTATTCATCAATCAAAATATTAGCCATGATCTTTTTGGTCCCTCTACAATATCACTCGAATTCAATCGACCTGATCATCCCAACCCCCAAATTAGGAAAAACCAGACTAAAACATACCTCCAGCATTATGACTAGCAGTCAACAAGATACCACCAGTCGCCTTTCTCTTTCTGATAATATGCGACGCAGCGGGGGTACTCAAGATACCATTTTGACCAATCAACAACTTCTTGACACCGTATGCGGCACCGATCTTTGCAATCAATTGCACAACTTCCGGGTTCCAGTATCGTCCATCACCACCAATGACGAGGAAACTGTCCTTGACACCTTCGGGGATAGAGAGGAGAATGGAGGTCACGAAGGACTCGCTGTAGTGCTCTTGTTGGAAAACAACGACCTTTTTACGGAGACCAGAACTGTGTAGTCAGAATGTTAGCAGACTGGACTGAAATAGCATTCGATAATAATCAACATTCCAGTCCCCATCAACCAAATAGACCATTCAAACCAAGACAAGACAGGAGACATGAGGTGGGGTTCCAGCTCCCCAAACACACAACTTACGTTCCAGGCTTCTGATCAGTAAAAGGTTTCAAAGAAACTGTCTTGACACTCATGATTTCGAAGTGATATAATTCCGAATAAAAGTATAAGATTCAGAAAGAAAAAAGTAAATGTAACGTATGAGAATCAAAAAGGGGGCAAAGCAGTTTTTGATGCCAACAAGACAAGCTCAACCAGCGGTGTTGATATTAGCAGCGCAGCTAGGTGGAGAAGTTCGTTTGGTGGTTCGTTTGGTGGGGCATTCGTTGAGAGAGAACTTGCAAGTTGCTGGGTAGGGATGCATACTCTATTATGATTGCATTTGAGAAGAGAACCCCACTCTTCGTAATGTAATGGGATGAGGGGTGAAGATCTCAAATCATGAATGGAGGGATGGATTACCTCATACACATACACACACATACACACACATACACACACATACACACACATACACATTATAGCTAACTACTGGTAGAGGAACTACGTATTTTTTGATATTGCCATACAACACAATACATACATACATATTCGACATTAGCCTATTCTCATTCCTGACGTCGTCAATATCCTGATTCATCATGATTTTATGATTCTCTCTCTCATAGCTATCGTAGAAAGGTGATGGAGTGATTTATCAGATATTATGTAATTATTGGTAGATATAATTTGATGTAATTAACTTATCTAGTTAATAGTTATAAATCCCATTCAATAGTTACCAAAATGATCATAGCAAGTATTCTTATCCAAATGCGAAATAGCTTTAAGCCTCATATCATAGACTGCGAGACTACTACGTACCTAGGTATCGGACAGCCCCTTGAGCTTAGTCTTAATTGCTAGGAACTCATCTCGTTCTGGTTAGATTGTATGAGATTGAAAATGTACTGTTACACCATGCAGCTTCGAATCTTCTCATCCAAAATTCAATACCTAACCATACAACTCCGACGTCTCTTAAGCTTCCATGACAAATCCTGATATATGTAATTATGCCACTGTCCCAATTGAAGATTATCGGGTGGTTTTCCATATAAGGTTGCCGTTGCAGGTGGCCATGGTATGCAACCAGTTCCCTTCAACACCACATGCATATCATACGATAAGAAGGGAGCTATGAAGAAAAATTGGCAGTATTGTCTACTAGCTAAAGTCGTATTCTTGATACTGATGATCCAGTACCTAACTTCGACAATCTGCCATTCCCATAACGTAGCAATGCAGCCCTCCATTCTCTTCGTTGGGGGTATCAATCTGCACAAATATAGGTACTCACAACAAAGTATCAACATGATCATCCCACTCATCAATGCCACGAAAGCATCTGTTCATCTTCATTCATGCCTAACGAAATCAGAAATTCAGCATATAAAAACTAACTCTACCAAATCCTCACTTCGCAACAGGTACTTGTTGAAAAACCCTCTCCTTCCAATATCTTGCCTCCTCAATACTCTCCAGAATATCTTCTCTCCCTCGATGTTTTCCCTGTTTCTTTGGTTGATCAACCAAGAGTCTTAAATCGCACCAACGCTTGGCAGCTTCCTTGATACTGCTCACGTCCAAGATTCGATAATGTAGATGCTCGATTATTTGTTTATAAGGTCCTTTACTCAAAAATGCTTTATCGGCATGAACACTATTTCCAGCGAGTAATGCGCGACCGGGTTCGGGAACCCATGATTTGATGTATGCCAGGAGAGACTCGGCAGCTTCGGTGGGAGTAGTGGTGGAGGAGAGAGCTTCGGAGGTTAGGCCAGTAGAGGCGTGGGTTGTGGTACACCATTCGTCCTATAGGTTGAGAGATTGTAAGTATGGATGCGAGGCCTTCATTGAACCAAAACGAAGATGTGGTCAGGGAAAAAGATATATGCAAGCTTGCAAATTCGGATTCGAAGAAATAAAAGAGGCACAAACCATTTTATCCATCGTCTCTTGCTCCTGATGAATCACAGCATTCCACCCCTTCTCATCCATCACCTCCAAATTTCCATTCGTAATGACACATGAAATTTCAATAATGACATCGTTTTCAACATCCAGTCCTGTCATCTATATGATATGCCATTGTTAGCTTGCAAGCTTGAGGACATTATATCCGTCGAATTCTCATCCAATGAGGAAATTGGTCTTGATATATCATTTGATAGACCGATGAACATTCGAGGAGCAACAGTGAAGAAATACACAACATACCTCACAATCAATCCAAACCAATGGATGACTGGTACTTACTTCCTCCATCTTCTGAATCCTCACTTGTATTCCTTATCTCAAAATCAGCATGCGAACCCAGTGATCAAGAATCAAGAATCAAGAATCACAAAGCTTTTTAGTAAACGAATAGAATATAGACAATGATGTTGTTGAATCAATCGAAGAGAAATCCCAAGGTATACCGAAGGTAGTATTAGTTAGTATTGATCACCTCACAAACCCAATCCCAAAAATTCTCACATCGTACCTGCTCATCTAATCTTATCCCATGCTGACAATCCTCATAGCTAGGTAACCCCGCTATAAAATGCCTAATAGTACCTACCTAGGTATTGATTGATGAGACGATTACTAGGTAAATATCTCGATTGTTTGAGTGATACATGGATACATAACATACATAATTACCCTCCAGGTCCTCAATTCTAGATGTGCAACACAATATTTTCAAGGTCATGTGAGTGAGCTTACTCATCCAATCTGTGTGATGCACCAGTGGGTGCACAGACTCACGGGACACTTAAGAGAAAAAGCACAATTTCACACCAAAAAGAGCTGTTTTGATAATTCAATTAAAATTCAAAAAATTGATATTTGACTTTGAAATTAAGAATTATTATTCTCAAGTATAAGAATTTTATATAGTGAAAGTTTTATTTCAAAAAAAAACAAATTTCAAGTTTATACAATCGATTATATAATATCCCACCAAAAAATTTGGTAAGAAAACGTACTATTTGATTTTTAAATTCAATATTCATTTCTAAGATTCAATCTTTATGTATTATATAAATCTTATGTTTATAAATCATATATCTTAATCTGAATGATATTAAATGAAATTTGGAATTTTGATTGAGTTTTGAAGTTGATAAATTTGAGTGTGAAATTGTGCTTTCCTGTCACGTTGTCCCGTGAGTCTGTGCACCCCCTGGTGATGTGAGACTTGAGAGTTTGAGCCGAAGTCCATCCGAGGGTTACATTAGTTTCTGATGTGCAACATTATTTGCTGGTTGTGATGGCGACGTGAATGGGACATTTTGATCAGTTTGATTTGCTGAAAGGCAGTTCAATTGTTTCGGGTTTTCTTGATTCTACTTGGCTCGAATTCAAATCATAACATCAGGATCGAGAAGCATCTCAGACATACAACGAATCATTTCATCGAGCCAGATCACATGTTAAGATATTGGTCTATCATACATCCAATTCTATGCGTATGTGTTATACTTTTATCACGTGTAGTTACTAAATTAGCTTAGCTTAGATTAGCTAATCCTGGGCCAATATCTTGGCCCTTGGCACCATTCTAATTCTACATCTTTTATTCCACACAGAAACCTCACAGTATGCGTAGCATTATCGACTCAACCCTAGGCCCTAGGCGAAAATCATCAATCATCAAATCTCACACTTGTCAATCACTACAGAGAATCTCAATTTTTCAATTTCCTCGCATACAAAGTTTAGAAAGGGGCAACTGTCGCATATACAATACAGTTCTGCCTATGTCTGCTTATTTTCTGTAATCTACAATCTGTGCATTATGTAAGGAATATGGGGCCAACAGTTGGATTGTCTGATTATATGGTTGGATACTATTCTCGCATAGGTATTCGTAAATGAGCTGTCTTATGATTTACATGGATATAGTGAGAAGCGTCGGGTTAAGGGTGAGCGATAGTGCTGGTAACGGCTCCAGTCCCCCTTTTATAGGGATCTTTTGAAGCACTATCTTCGGAAACGCTTTCTCTGTTATACATACTATTTTCATTTTACCTTGACTTGAAAGCTCAAGATGTCGACGGACTCTGCATCATCCAAGTTGCCCCAAATCCTAATTTTCAGAACATCTGTAACCATTCGAATGTCACCTGAGGAAAGAGCACTATACGAGCGTGTTGCATTGTTAACAGACCCCACACTAGTCACTCATGCTGAGAAAAATCAACTACATGGGCTTCCACCACCAGACGAAGAAGATAGACTTTGTGTGGAGAAGGTTGGCCTGACTATGGCAGAGCTGAAGGATAAAGTGGCGGCCAGTCACGTTACCCTTACTCGAGAAGAGGCCGACATCATTTTGTTCGGCGTTACGAAGACTTCGGGTGACTTACACAGTGGAAAGAGGGATCTTCTATGGTCTATGGATCTCGTAGAAGAAGAACAGCAGCTTGTCAGAAAAGTAAATATTTTCTTAAGTAATCCTTATGACAACGCGATTCATCGCCTCACCAACATACGATGGGATGAATTGAGACGGCTAGATGAGCCGGCTAGGGAGCAACGGTGCGAGCAGAAAAAACAGGAAATGCGTGCCGCCTGGGCCGCGCGAAGAAAAGCTGGCCGACCTAAATGAGTGCAGGAATTGATTGATGCAAACCTCCCTCACTGGGGATTTGTTGTTTTCCGGACAGATTATCGTGAAAGTACAGATGAGAAGTGGCACACCTTCAAAGGTATCTACCGGATGACTACAGCTACTGTGCTGCGTGACTGTTGGAGTAAAGCAAACACCCTAGTCACGACACAGAAATCTTTTCTTGTTTTTGATCCAGAACTAGATGGCGCGGGCCTGGATATATTAAGAGAGCGATTCAAAGCGATGAGAGAAAATGGTGAAATTCCTAGCGGGAGAGCAACGGATTGCTTTCTGGTGGTGGACGAGGCAGTTCTTGACAACAATATCATATCTACCAAAACTCTCTTCAAGGCTGAAAGTCCTGGAAATTTAGATCCATGGGAATCCACACTTTCTCTACGAGCTGTAGATCCTGATCACAAAAACAAAGATACATCTGATTTCCCAGGTTACATTACGATTCCTCTTCCTAAAGTTTTCGACTGGTTGTATTACTCTTTCGTGTCGAAAAATGAGAATTGGGAAACTCGATATCTTAACACCAAAACAGGTCCTGCAGAACCAATGGTTTGTGCTCCTTCCAGATGTCCCTACCTTCAGATCACTAGTACTCGTCACAATCTTAGGGCTTGTGATCCACTAACATGATATCTAGGACACCGGAGCGCCATATCCAGCGTATCGTCCAGGTACAGAGCCGCCATCAGTATAAGTCAACATGAACCATGCGTATTTGAATTTCTATTCTAATCTGCAATCACGATTTTATGTGTCTCTTGTGAATATCTTTCGATTCGACAACTTGTGAAGTGATGTGATTTTGAACAGAGATAGTCTATATGATGGCAAGTTATCCTCTCTATCATATCAGAAGGTGTGCTAAAATATAGCCCAGTCGAAAGTTCATTTGTTTTATTTAATCTTTTCTTATGGTTTCGGGTGTAGAGATTGAGATGATTTACAAGACTGTTCGCTGTTATGAAATTTTAATTAGATAGTTTTCTGTTGGCCAAAGGGAGATTAGATACATGGTTTCTTTCGTGGAAATTAGTGTGCCGATTTCCTCCTTCAAAATCAACTGCGTTATCGGAGATAGTTCATTTTAACAAAAGTCCACTACTTTGCAACCGCTATCGTATCAGTTGTCAAAGAAACAAGCTACATTAGTACAGCAAATGTTATGCTAGTACTCGTAGCAGCTTTGGTAGACCAAATATTAGAGACCGGCGGACACCCTATACCCTCAAAGATGAGAGTGCTCTCATAATGTTTACTTCTCACTGCATTTCAGAACGTCAACGATATATCTTGAATATTCGCAGCTCGCGTATCAAGTTTACCACCGTTCAAACCATCAAGCGAGAGTCTCAGAATTGACTGATTGCAATTGCAACACTCCGTGATCTCCCAACCTAGGCATCTAAGAAGTGCTAGCAGTGCTATTGAATTGAGCAGTGCTTTCCCTAACACAATAGCGATACCCTGGAGCAAGCACACACGAACTCACATTCTCCGGATCCAATATGAGTGAAGGATTCCACGCGGTGAAATCATACACGTCGACTGTTTATCCCGAAAGATATCGTCAGTAAGATATACATGCATATACATATTACAATATCAGCAGGGTGAAAAAGCAAAACCACCAAAGTGGTGAAAATACGAATCCATTATAACGTGGGTACCACGAGAAAAAAAACAAAACTTACTCCCGTAGAAATATCCAAGAAATCCACATAAGTTCATATTACTTGACTTGCCCTCAAAATGCCGTGTGTATCTTTCACAGGAGCCAGAAGTACCGGGAGCGAGTGGAAGATCCTGAATTGATGTATATTTAGGTCTTGCAGCCCGGGGTTTTGTGGGTGTACCGACGGCTGGCCATGTGAATGGCGTGGTGGTTGAATATGTGGTTACGAAACAGCGGGCTAGAGCGAAGAGTTCGGAACAGGCATGTTGGGTTTTGGTTTTTGTGGCGGGTGTTGTGATTGAGTTGGAGGCGGAGAGATGTGTGGTTGTGGTTGTGATGGTGGTTGTGATGGTAGAATCTGAAAGGGGGTATAGAAGTGGAGATGCGTTGATGGAGTGGAGATCGCGGAGGAGTATGTAAACTGTGAGGATTATAGTTAACTTTTGTCTGGCGTACTGGATTTTTCAATGTGGAGAATGACGATTTGTAGGGATTTGTGTGAAAAATACTAGAAGTTTAGACTCACCAAGATACAGAGACAGCTAATCATTCTGAACAATTTTTTTTATTTTTGGGGGATGTTTTGGATGGACTAGAAATCAGAGGATGTTCATTCCTTATTAAACAAGTTGCAAAATCCTAGGAATCTGGATAGATCTATCGCACCTGGAAACTTGTCCGTACACAACACGCTGTAGCCTTCGGGGGACACCTCAAATCATGCTTAGACTCGGAGTGTGCGATTGTAATGAGGTTAGTGCTCGCTTAGAGCTATCTGTGCGGCATCTCTACTTCTCAGTTCAGGAGTTTGAATGCCTAGGTAGTTGTCAACTTTAACTACAATATCACAAAAACAGTATACTATTCTCAGAACAAGAGACGACTCACACGCACGCGGAAAGATCTACGAGTCGAAATGCAGTAACAAGATAAAGTTATCAGAAGCGCAAAATGCCATTCATTATCAACACTCCTGATTATTCACTATGCCACCTGAATACCCATCCATTAGAGGACCCCAAGATGCATCCTTTGCTAGTTGCAGCTCCAATCCATATTCCATTTCCCAACTCCGCAATGCATTCGTAAACCGACCTGCGGTTTTCTATTTTGTTTTCTTCCCTTTACCTTCCCTCATCTCCATTCCATCTCATTCCTTCCTTCTGTTCCATCACCACCATCAACCTAATACCTCACACCCCTCTTTCCCAACTCCTTCCTCCCTACCCCCTCCTCCGGCCAAACCCAGCCACGCCCCCTCTTCGCCTCTCTCTTCTCCGCCAACTGCGGTTCGGGAATCCAATCATCCTTTGGCAAAATCTTCCTCCTAGTCCCCTCAGCCGGCGCTCCAATCTCCGTCTTCCAAGTCATCTGACCCGGCAACCTCTCATCTCGTGCAAGCATATGTAAATACCACAACGCCATCAACGCCGTCATATTCTCCAACTTATCCTCCTCGACACCATTCTCCATCTCGGAAAAGGCAGACACAGAACCAGAATGCGCAGCCAGTTGAATCGTCTGCACTTCGAGATATCCAAAATGCGGTACCGATTCACTTCCGTTGCGTACCACCACAAGTTCTATTTCCGTCATGATAAATCCATAGCGACACCCGTGTTCGCGCATGCATTTGTGCAGATGCGCGAGGCCCCGGAGATACTCCACCTTGCGATGGTTGCCCTCGACCCGCATACCGGTGTTCCAGCGGTCGAAGGATTTGACTAGTCCGACGACGCGACCGAGTCCTCGTCCATAGATCAGTTGCGAGTTGTCGTCGGTGTAGTTGGAGATGAACGATGGATCGCCGGATTTCTGTCCCATGGCTGATGAGGCGCGCATCATGAGATGACGGGTTCCTTGGGAGATGGAAAGTGCGTTGTTGAGTTTTGTAGCGTAGAATTGGGTGTAGATGTTTTGCAATTCGTGTTCGTTCTCGGGATTGTTGCATGCGCGGGAGGGTTGTTGGAAACTGTTGGATGCGATTCCGAGGTTGAGTAGATGGTGAAAATCGGGGATGGAGGAAATGGTGGTGGTGTTGAAGGAGGTCCAGGGTCGGATTTGTCGGATGTCCCACCAGAAATGCTTGGCGTTTGTGTCGCGGACATGGATGTTGAGTTGACGGACTAAAGCTGGAGCGGGGTTGGGAGAGGTGAGGTAGGTGGCGAGGTTGGATGTTGAATTATCGGAGAGAAGGATGGGATGAATGTCGTCTATGCTGCTCATTTGAGCAAGGGGAGATGGCTCACGTGCAGGAGTTGGGTATCGCTCATGTGGTTGTGGCGAGTATGATTCCATGACTGCCATATTTGGAGATTGTATGTAGTCTGGCATTTGACGATACGTTGGGAATCCATATTTGCCGAGTGTTTGACCATCAAGACTGGAGCTTGAGGAACGTCTGTGTTGCTGACTTTCAACCGATTGGACAGCGTACATTGGTGAGCAAAGAGTGGACATTGGACGAGTGTTCGAGGGGAATATATCAGAGTTAAATACGATTGTCTCGGGATTCGTGTAGCTCCTATTATGAGTAGGTTTGGATGCACGACTAGCGACATTCTTTTTTGATGTTTTGGTTACTCTCAATCCAGTTGAAGGCGAAGCATTGATCTCCTGATCTTGTGGACGAATCTTGGGTAGGAGAAGTGGGCCATGTTGTCTAATTGGTGATCTAGCCGGAGTAGTCATTTGGGTACTCGAGATGCTTATAGAATCGGATGGAGATGAATCTCGAGAATAGATTGACACTTGCGAACCTGATCGAGAATGACCAAGTCTGAAAGGAGCACTAATTAAAGGCTCCTCAAATGTGAACTGTGGTGGAGTAGTTGGCTCAAATGAAAATGAAGAATAATCAAATGACATGTCTGCTACCGGACTGTATACATAAAAATGTTAATCAATGTCATTGTAGTATAAATCTGTTAGCAATGTCAGGTGCTTGACTTACGCAAAAATATGAGTAGAGTGGTGGTGAGCGGTAGGTGGTCAGTGTCTATGACGAAAACACTATATTAAAGTTCTGATGAAGGAGCCGGCTCCAGATATTTTTGATTGCTTCAAGATCAACCGAAGAATATTAAAAGGTATGATATGATGATATGACGATGAGCACAGCTCTTCTAAAAAATTTGATGACAGAAAAGATGTCTAATGCGAATGAATGAAGAACGAAAGAAAGAGTATGAGATGAGACTGAATAACTAAAAAAGAGATATGAGGTGATGGCCACCAGTACTTATCCTCGTTGAAATTGAGTAGAAGGGTAGTATCCAATACCCAGATCACTTCATGGATTGACTTGACGTCCGGACAGGGGTATCAAGAAAAAGATCTAAATAATCCAAAACGCGGAGAAAAGTAGTTAGACGAGACTGAAAATATACAAAGTGGATATGATACTGTTTCTTGGTCAAGCAGATAAGGCCATATGGTTCGTTCTTCAGCAGCCGCCGGATAAATATAATCTCAATTAGGTTCAGTATGTGAAGCACTAATGTAATGTAATGCAATGTTAAAATGACTCATTTTTAGACTATCAACCTTACCCATGAACGCCAATTTTTGGGATAGTGGATCCGGGGAGATGGTGTTGTACATGGGAATTTGATAGTTCTTACTGAGAAATCAAGAAATAATCCAATAAAAATCGATTATCACAAACCGAATCAAAATAGAGGCGCTGATTGTGAAGTAAGCAAAAAGACGCGTTCGGGTGATTACATTTTCGGATACCATGTACCTAGGTACGTACCCGAGGTACCCTGAACACCAAAAACCACGACGTCGCGTGCAACATCGCGAAATTTCTGCAAGCGCTCGCGTTACCAAAATCAACAAGTCAACATTGCACAACATTGAGTATAGGTAGGGTACAGGTACTCGTACAAAACAACGGCAACGGCATTGAACGATAATTTCATTAGGTACTACTACTTGAAGATCTACCTAAGAATAATTTGTCGCCTTATTCGTTAACCAGCGCTTGCTTAATGAAACTATTTTTTAGCTTTTGCGGCATACGACTGGCCAAATTGTCGACCCATCAAACTTCGGTGAATCGGAAGAGGTTTTTTCAATAAGCAATAGTTCAACTCAGTTGTGGAGTACTAATTGAAACTATTCCCAATTTCGATCATACTATTCAAGTACCGCGACCGGCAGACGCTTTTGCTAACAAATTTGCACAGCCGACCACCAAGCGCCCGAGTAGCATTATGCTTTATTCAAATGAGACTTCTCAAAGTAAAGAAATGTCACGTTAATCCAGAATCGGGTTTGAAGAAATGGAGACTGGCGGTTACGTGTCAGGGTCGTGTTGACGACGTAACCTCTTCTTGAAGATCATTGGTAAAGGAGCACACGCCAATAAGCGAATGATCTCCGAATCATCCCTGCCTTTTCTCTCGACGCGCCGCATACCTGCCTAGGTATGCATGGTATGGCTGTACATGGGTTGTAGACGAATCAATTGGATCTTGATAGATTGGGTTGGATTATTGGATATCATTCAATTTTTATATCTTGGAATTTTGATGGGAGCGATGCGATGTATCATTCCGAGAATTAGTCAACATGTTCATCTTGTTTCATGATCTACGTTTCACAGTTTCAGGAAGGAAAACTCTGACTCATTGTTAACTGTACAGTCCAGAGAAGCAGGATACATGGAAGAGAGATCGGATGGAGAAATCTATGATCCATATCTGATAATCACTGGTATGATACCGTCATATATTTTATCAGACGAACAGCACCCCCAAGTCCAGAGGAAGGTAGGAGCTCATTAGACTCCGATGATGACAACCCATAAAACGAAACGATAATTGTCAGATTGAAATTCATGCCTTTAAGCTTCGGCCTCAAGAACAGGTCTACCTAAGATTAGCTTTCTTCATACTCCAAATTGAGACGTCTCGTATTTTTCAAGACCAGAGGTCGAGACAGTATGTACTGTTCGAAATGCCATTATGGGATTTAATATTTCCCATGACTAAATTTGTACGATCAGGTAATATTTCTTCTCGGATAGCTCGCCTGAACTATCTAAAAATGGAATTCTGGAGTTCGGAAAGACCTAAAGCGCTTAGACTGCACCAAGGTCCAAGATAGATAGAGCGGGTTCACGATAACGGTCGTAGGATTGATTATCGTTCATTCTCGTACCCTTGAAGGGCTGAACGAGGGAACGCGAACGACAGGCGTTTCGTGGGGGTTTCGTTTGCTTGATTAGGAATGATTGATTGGTTGGCTGTGTTGTTTCGTTTGACTTCGGGACTTTTATCCGATGATTAGAACTTCAATAGAGAGAGTGGATCACGTGCGTGCGTAATCTACAATTGCTTGTATCTTTTCTCCGCTCGGCAACTTTAATTTGTGAGAGAGTCCACTTCATTTTCCTCCGGGCGGCTACGAAAATTAAAAATACACTGGGAAACTCATGAGCGGAGAACAATGTGGACACTGTTTATGCGGATCGTTGAAGAACTTTAGTTTAGTTTTTTTATCTTGGGAATATTGATCAAGGATCAATTATTGAACTATCTTTGGCTTTTGAGCCCCAGGGTTACATTTCAATAAACGTGTCGTACACGTGATCGAATGATCGTGACACAAGTCCGTTTTGTTTTGCGCGTACATGTATATTGTCTTCGTTCCTTCCTTTTCTGCATCTCAATCCTCAGTTCGCCCGTGTCTTTGAAATCCTTCCGATTCCTTATCCCAATCATCACTCTTACGTTCTTGGCAGATTGATTGCGAATCTCAGCTGCTCGACGATCACTGCGGATTCGAAAGGCCTCAAACTGGCTTATGCGTTCGGGTGATATGTCTTGAAATGTCCACGAAAATGAGCAGTGTTCGAAACTTGGTCCCTACCGCCGTACAGAGTTGCGGCGGTTATGATTATTACGCTCAGACTTTGGTCTGGTCCGGTAGATGAGGAGGGGAAGACATCGAAGGATTTGATTAGGTTTTTTATCCTTATTCTATGCTTTCACTTGTTCATCTATCGACATCTATCGATCTGTTGATCTTTAATACTGAGATGAATACTTTTTCTCTCATACGACTTTCAGCTGAAATCATGATTGATTAGAACCCGTCATCTTATATTGCTTCAGCCGCAATTCACCAATTTATCAAAGAGAAAAATATCTTTTTGTTGCATATCTTCGCCATTTATTACTGCTTTCGATGTTGAATGCAGTTTTGTTTTATACTTTCGCTTCTTATTTCCATGGGATAATTAGTATTGTTGGCCGTGCTGGACCTTCGCTATTTATTTCCGGTGTCGTGATTACTCGCCACCTTTTTTTTTCGACGACACCTCTCGTGTTCTTTCACTAGACATTAACATTACGTACGGGTCCTCTCAGCGAGTGTATGTTCTGAACTCTCATCGAAATCATATTTGCAATATCGTAGACTTAAGATCAAATCATCCACAATGTCCGAATAAATCGAGCGTGAAATCAACGAATAACGTTATATTAGTCTAAGACTCCAAGCCACGGTAACGGGTTGTAGCCTCACCAAGTCAAATTTTGCGAAGCTTGGAATACAGTATGCACTGAGTTTAGAGTGTATGCTGCTTGGATTTGGCTATTTATTCCCAGTTAAATATCATTCTTTTTATTTTTCTTATTTTGCAAAACCAGTCTTTCGTTCAACGTACTGCCACACATTACAATAGGTAGTTTGTTTTCATTGCGGGTACATGCAGCTATCGAAGCCACTTGCTATTTCCGCGATACTAGTATTGCCACTTATGACGTCTCATTTCATCGACCCAGAATGGAGGATGTTAGCTGGATTCAGATATATTTACAGAATGAGGATATTATAGGACCTTGTACATGGAAAAGTTCATCATGTCCAGAGTATCATCTCGATTCAAGCATTGCGTCTTGCAGCTCTCATATTGCCATAGATAGCTAATTCTTTTGAGCCGGCAACAGTTCGATAGTCAACGTAATTGCAAGCAACGCAGCTGATTCAGATAGGACATGGTGTTGCGCATATGACGTGAATTACTGTTATGGAGCGTTAACTTTCGTACAAGGATTCGGTACAATGTTTGCGAAACCAGGTAGTTCGCTCATAATTTCAGTAGCAGCTTCAGCGGCAACACCAGTGTCTGCGAGTACAACATCATAATCCTACCACCGCATTGACATCTTCCCCTTCCGCAACAACTGTCAGCTCAATACCCTCAATAATCGACGCAGTAGTTGGCATCTCTCTCGGCCTCGCAGGCATAGCAGCTCTCTAATTCGGGAATGAGTAGTGGATAATGGGTAGGGAAGTTGGGATCTGGGAGGTTGGACGATTTGAACTGGGTGTGTTGGGTATTTTTGTAAACATATCATGTGGGCTTGTAATTTTGGGGAATTTCGGGACTTTAGTGAGTTGGCATCATTCGGCAATCATTGGATTTCAGGATTGAAAGACTTTTGCATATTCAATCTGAGATAACGTTAATCGAACCAACCTATTCATCTCTAAGTTCGGGACAAGTCGCTATCATTCTCCCATTCAATGTTTAATTGATGCTCAAGAAATCAATAATACTACCTTGCATTATTCAAACTTATCAGCAAGCCAAGAATTGCTAGCGAACCCCACTTACTCCAGAAATCTGCTCCATCTTGGTACTCGAGCATAGGCATCGCGGGTTGGATCTCTCGGTTGCCAAAGCGCAAAAGGATGAGTCTTCTTGAATTGTGGTGCATTTTTTCAAATATGAAAGTCCTTCAAGAAAACAATCCAACGGTTTATCCGTGTCTGACAAATGATTTCATGAAGAAGAATGATTGTAAGGAATCCAGTACAAGACAAACCCTCGGTAAATGATCTTATACCAATTCTTTTGTCATCTTTGCTCATATGAGAGTGTTGAGGGAGCTCTTGAGAATGTTATACCCCATAAACAAACCACAAACTCCCACACTGTGAGCTTGAATCACTAAAATAATCTTGATGACTCCATTTTCATCAGCAATCATCTCAACCTCTCCATCTCCCACTTTATGTTTTCATCTACAGACCTGTAGATTCACATTGATTAATCTTCCTCACAAATAAATCCAGCACAGTAATCATATCAACATGGGAACAGTAACAATACTAATCACTAATTGATGTATATATGCTAGGTCACTTCCTTTTATTCTCTCATACAGGCATCTTCAACAAAGACCATACCAAATTCCCATATCATTCGTTCATAAGAATTCCACTCACGATGCCTACTGCCCAAGAGATCAAATTCAGGAAAAGGGAGGTGAAATACGACAAAAACTCAGATTTTATGAACATGGATTTCGAGCTGCATGGTAGCTGGAGATCTGATGCCGTAGATGCTGTCTTGCACAACATACTGAACTACCCGAAGACCGTAAGAATCATTTTCGAGATTCACTTTGAGGATCATGAAACTTTTACTACAAATGAGCAGACACCATCAGAAATCGTATCAAAGAGATCTCTCAAAGCATCAGCCTTCTATTCTTCGACAGAGAAGGAGGGATGGAAAATTTTGATATGGTCGAAGTGATCTTTCACATGCCCCGCTTTAGTACTCGGCAACTCAAATGTGCCTCTGGCTTCTCAGATTTGATGCCACACTGGAGTCTCACGTACACATATGAGGAGAGCCATTCTACGGGTTGTTGCAGCTACAAGGCATGTAGTGAAGGGGTAGATGTTGAAAGTGAGATCGATAAGCATGCTCGCAAAAGGGGATTGCCGAATGATGGGTAGGAGACGATGGGATCATTGTCCACTGGTCAAATTTTCAGGATTCTGGGCACTTACATTGGGACTGGTGTTATGATAGAGATGAAGAGGATCAATTTCTGGGAGGGTTCAATGTCATTTAACGATGTGCTTTATTTATGCTTTGGGTTTTTAGCTTCAAGATAATGATCACTGTGCGAAGTAATCCGTACCAAAACTTCAAGCTTTTGTCGTAATTATAGATCACAAACTATGGACGTGAGCTACTGATGTGCTATTATATAGAGGCTTTGGTGAACATCTATGGTGAACTACGAATTTTTGACACTCCAGTAGGATGAATGCAACTTCTCCTTATACACTCGCAGATGATCCCATTGTATTCAAATTTTCACCCAGTTGCTCAATACTACTCTTTGCCTATACAACTAGGTACAAACGGCAGAACTTTTAGACTTTCTGTGGATACGATTCATTTCATTTGATTGCTTTTAACATATTGAATAGAGAAACAAATCCCCAGTATGTTAATTGAGTTTTGATAGGAACCAAATAATTCTCATCTTAGCACTGTTATAACTACCTATTTTGGTGGCTCCAATTCACTATTGATAATTACATGATTTCTGGAGCCTTTGTTATCACTTGCGGTAATAGAATTCTGAAGGCCAATCTCATTTCCCTAGATTCTATGCTAATACTGGTTATCCATCAAACACACAGAGTAACCTGCCTTGATATCGATCATACGATCTTACGAGGGCACTTTATTAGCTAGCGAAGTGTTAGCGCTTCTTTATATAGTGCTAGCTTCCTATGTTTGAATTGATCAAGGACGGTTACAACCACGACGGACCAAATCTTGGAAGTACTTTACATTTGTCAACCAAGTCGAAATTAACAAATCCAGACCACTTACGAAAATATAACACGAGTCTAATTCTTGTTAGATCCCTATCTGCACATCTCCACCAAAGATAGAGTCAAGGATCCGTACTTTTTGACTGACCTATTCCGTCAACAATGTCTGATCAACAGGCAATCCTTCAGGCTACGGCCACCCATTTCCCTCCCGAAGCAAATTATGTTGAAGAGACCAAAACTATCACCGTCATCTTCAACACAGATCGCGACTGGATACAAGGCCCTGAAGATCTCATCATCAGGCAGATATCTCAGTACCTCAACATGGAGTTTGATATAAGACTGTGATAGAAACCCGGAATTTGTGATGGTATCATAGATTATCCCGAAAAGACACTCTTTTATGAATTCAATCCCATTTACACCCTTAATCAAATGTACCTTGCTTGGAGTAAAGAAACTGCCATGATGATTTCGATATCTCATTGGCAAATAGTTTGGCCCTACAACTTTGATATTTTGTATCATTCATTACTATATGTAGTCATTTTTGGCCTTACAAACGTCTCCACCTCCCACAGTTATATGTCCATACAGCAAACCACAGCAATCAATCTACTTACGAATATTTAATGAGAGCTCGGCCTCTTTTCTTCATTCTTTATCAGTATCTCTGCCAGAAACAAAACGCATCTCCGCACAGATTCGCACTTTCTGGTCTATTTGATTCAATTGCGATGGCTCAACCTCAACAAGCAAACAATCCGGCTGCATTCATTCCGATAGATTCAGAATTAGAATACAGTGGAACCTTCCCAGATAGAATCTTGGCCATTACTTTTCAACGGAATGGTGGAGATGATATCCTTGACCCTATCAAGCAATACACTCTCATAACAGATAGAGTAGAATTTCGTATTGACTTTACTCAGCTGAACAATTTTACGCAAGCAGAACGAGCCATCATTGAACAGCGCATTTCCAAAATTCGTGTTGCCATCAACTACGTTGCCCCTGATGCACTACCTCGATCGAATAAAATTTCAACTGTCTGGGTGTTTGCCAATATGAGCCAATTTAGAACTCGGCTGCTTAAGATCTGTGCGGAATTCGTTGAATTGGACCAAGGCTGGGATCTCCTATGGCAAATTAATGGTGGAGCTCCTCAACTTTGTTACAGCAGTGAGAATGATGTGATGGTTGATTTAGAACAAATCATCGACGATTATGCTCATAACCTGAGTTTGCCAAATGATGGATAGAAGCGTACTGATGGCAATGCTCTGAATATTCAAATTTTTGAATTTACAACATTTCAGCCACATAGCATGAACATAAGACAAGGATAGATTAGGCTTAGCTGAAGGATTTAATGTTGACCGATCCATGGATGTGTGCATTCTCATGTCTTGGTATTTTGTAGTTGCAATGGCTATTTTTAAATGATTTGGAGACATTCACATATACTTATATCTGCTAGATCTTGAAGTGAAGATATGTTGGTTTGCTCACTTGCCTCCTCTAGATTGAGCTGATTTGTGAAAAAAAAAAAAATGAAGAAAAAAAACCCCCCCCATTTGAGGAGAGTAAGGGAAAGCCGTATTTGGAGACCGCGGAGACGAAACTGCCGCCCCTGGCAATAAGCTCAAGTAAATTGAAAGAAAGTTGGGGGAATCAATGAGTTTTGTCGCTGAAAGTTAAACTCGCGCAGTCACAAACCAAGGTAGCGAATCGAACAAGTGAAAGTAATTGTGCGAGAAAATCAAAGATTACCCGCGTTTTTGCGTCCGCAAGATATGGGATGTGGTTGAGTATCAAGTCATGGAGATCGTTTGAAGTGTAGTCTGTACATATTATTTGATGGAAGTGCAGATGGTGATAAATGATGGAGTTGCTGGATCTGAGATACGGATTTTAAGACTTATGTGTTTTAAACGATTCCTAAATACGTTTAAAGCAATTCTAGTCGATGTTTTAAACGATTATAAATACAAATACGTTTTAAACATGTTTGGTAAATGCTTTAAACACTTCTTGAATACTTTTTAAACACTCTTGATCTATGATCGTTTAAAACATATTATCTAGATGGTTTAAACAAACTTCAATGTTCACGTTTTAAATATCTTCATCACTTGATTTAAACACTTCTCGATTATGTTTTAAACGCTCTCAATATAAGTTTAAAACGCCTTCTGAAGTATGTTTTAAACGTATTTTTATTACATGTTTTAAGCGATTCTTAAAGATGATTTAAGCGGCTTTGATATGTGTTTAAAACGATTCTTGAAGTTGTTTTAAACGCCTTTGCGATTGAAAGATATAAATATGAGGAGTTTGATATAGACTACTAGGTAAGAGTTGTACGTTCCCGTTATGTCATTGCATGGTATGCGAAATGTCATTAAGCATATTTCATTGATATTCCCCGAATGCTATATGTGCGGCAGCCCTACTACTATCTACCCACCACCTTGGTCGCTGTCATACTCCCCACAATAAACTCGTTTTATATTTAACATACATTTGAGTGAAACATGCATAATAATTTAGCTTAAATATCCATCTAGTCGTAGATCTAAAACATCTCAAGACTTGCGAAGACAAAGATAATTGCGACCCATGTCCTTCGAAATTCGATATTATTCCACCACCTAATACTATATCATGTGCTCCTTCTACTTCATGGTTCATTAAACGTTATTATTTCCGAGGAACCGATAGTCGTGCACTTGGTACGTTTCCCAATTTGTGGACTCTCTTCCTCCTTCCAGTTATGGATAGGATGCATCTGTATGTGGAACGTACTCCCTATTATCCGCTCTCTTTTCCAATTCTTGTTCCAACAATCGAATTTCAATCTTTCTTTTTGCAATTAAATCCTCAATATAACGGTAGGGTAAAGCTACACCCAAGCAATTTTGAGGTAAAGATAGAAATTGAAGTTCGTCGTCCGCCCTCTCTCCCCACTTCATTTTTGTTCGCTCAAATTTTCGCATGATCGCAGCTTTACGGCTCTCCATTGTATGTTCGTCGTACGAAAGATTGCTTTCATTTATCCTCTCCCTACATAGGTTGTCGCAATCTTGATGTGTCTTTAATTCCGGGTCGTGTTCAGACCAAGTTGTTTGGATTGTTTGACTAATTCTGATGTTGTATTCTAATTCCTCCTCGTTCATGTCCTCAATCATATCACCCGTTGTATATATATCCATGCTTAGCTCACTAGATAAACGTAAAGATGGATATACTTCCTCTGCAGGGTCTTTGTGTTTTAGTACCAACAATTGTTGTTGAGAACGTTCAATTTTATCGGCTGCGAGTTCAATGAAATGTTTTCTTGACAAATAATCTTGCGATAAACGTCTCGTATGGGGTGGCCTAGCTTTTTGCTCGTTCTTCTCGTCTATTGAAACTGTTTCGACTTCGATAGAAGCTAAATCTGCTTTCGGTTGTTCTGGTGTATTTAAATCCGAATTTGTTGCTCTCACTGTTTCGCTGGTACTGTTGGATCGATGAAATAATCCATTATTCTCCGTTTCCTTACAGGTTACCCTCTTCCCTCTCCTTGAGTTCATGGCTCGACGGAGTCTTGATTCCAAATTTGAAAACATGACTGCTTCTTCTTGTTGTTTATCACTCCCCTGGTACTCGAATATATCTCAAAATATAGTTGTCAAAGGATTTTGTATAAACTACGGTGAGATAACCTATCAACTTTTGGTCCGTAAACAGGATGCTTCCTGTGCTTTGAAATGGCGAATAAATGAGGTTGGCAAACGATCTTATATGGATGAAATGTCCGATTTGCTTGAGCAGGTAAAATTTTCGGTTTAAACTGAGGGAAGGAAGCGTTGAAGATGTATATGTTGAATTGTATAAATTGGAGGTCGAGATGACTTATTACAATTAAGACAAGGATTAAGGTTGTGATTGTGAATGTGACTACCTGTGGAGAGAAGAGAAAGGAAATCCATGGGGACAGTTCTCCCTTATATAGTTGAAACAACATTTGACTAGACCTGTTAGTGCTTGAACTAGATTCATTAGCGCGGGTGTCAAGACTTTTAGACTTCTCGGGAGTACATAACCGAGGGTCCACTTGTACACGGGGTTGCTATTTTCCTACGTAATGATACAACGTTACAAAATCTCTATCTGGACGTACACTCAGTTGAATTCATCAATTAATACAGGCAATGATACCCCTTCTCCAAAGCATGACACTCGCCATCTGCGAGACTCAAGCTCAATGTCTATCCAGATCAAAGTCACTCCTACACGAGTGCTCAATCAAGCGCTTTCAAATGAGAAGCATAAGCAGGGATCCCATTGATACTGCATGAATGATACATCAAATCATAAATAGGTCCTAGACAGGCCATCTCAAATTTCGGTAGATTAAAACTTCCTCCCTTATGAAGAGACACGGAAGGTCTGCAACAGATAATCTTTCCGAAGCATGTATTCCTGTATGATACACTGATATTCGTAAGTAGATGATGCTGTAGGATAATTTTCCATTGTACCGTGCGAAAAAAAAAGCAGGTCTATTGCAGTTAAACCTTAGTATCATACTGGTATTCCTTTTGAGACCTTAGTTCATGGCTGTGAAGTTGGCAAAAGATTTCTACAGATCCAAATAATCGGGCCAGTTAAAGGACTGCCGCAACATTTAACACTTACGAATATACGTCAGATCTATTTTGTTTATAAAAGCCGTGGGTAATCCAAGCGATTTCTTCAGATCCTCACATGTGCCGCCTTGTTTTTTATACTTTCCGGTTCCTTCATACCTATTGTATCGTGCAGTATTAAGTATTTACAGGGTTGTTGAACAGAAACAAGCTCTTGCAGATCATGAGCAAGACAAATTTCCGAACATGTATGAGACGAATTCAGTCGATCATGCAGTATCTACTAGGTAGAATTGATTTCTTTATTATCTTCGCTTCGAGATTGGCAAGAGTGTCACATCATACCAATGAAATATCAAAGCACATCATGCTATCATCCAGTCCACACATTATCCATCGCGGCATCATACTGCATGAAAGTGATGCAACACACAGCTAGTCTCAACGCTTCAATGGCGCGGCTGCTGGTCCTCTTCGAAAAGCAAGAGATACCACGACACGAAACTCTCCAGTATACATCGGGACCGCTGTCGGTGGTCCGAGCTTGCATAAAAAAGGTAATAATCATGGTTTCTGGCTGCAAATTGGGATACTCTTCGTCCTTCGCGAGCTGGAGTGTGTTCAGAATGAAGAAAATTGGGCAGGGGCAGCTGTATCAGTACGTACTTGGTACTAGTAGTCGATCATTGCTTATCAGTCTCAGCATACTGATAGTATGAGATAATATTGACAATACATACCACGGGCTGCTCTCCCGGTGCAGTAACTGCAAAGTTCCGAGCGGGACCGAGATTGTTTTCATCGCTATGATCACAAACAACACGGAGCAACCACGCTGAAGTATACGTCCACTGAAACTCTTCTGTTGGACAACTTACAACATCCCAATCAATATCGAAGCCCCCTCACGACTTTCGGCATTCCTGTGAACAGAAGTAGCAGTAGATTAGTCCTGCGGCAGCTTCACTGATACTTCACGCTATAAACGAAGAGCTGGCACCATGCGAGAGTAGACAAACATCTACCTGCAATTCCCACCCTTCGATTTCCGCAGGATTCTCCATCAATAGCTGCACTTAAAAAGGCCACCATCCAAGTCCAATCAGCAGGATTCCCCGCCGCACTACAAACTTCCCAAGTAGCCTGCGCTATCAATCCCTTCATGCATATATCCGGTGAATAAATCTCGCACATGTTTGACGGATATCAAGTCACCATGGGGAATATCGTAGAAGAAAATCTCGATGGAGGAATTCGAAAAGAATAGCGAGAGTACTGATGTTATAATTATCGAGACGAACCAAGAACCAAAACAGCCGATGAATAAGCTGGAGGGATACGCCATTCGATCAAACGAATTATTCCAAGAAATAAGCAATCAAGAAATACTGCATCTCGTGCGCCAACGTGTATGTGATGAGTTTCGTGTATCATCCGTATATTGTGATATTAAACTGTGTTTGGAGATGCATTAGCATGTGGGCTGTAGAAAGATGTTGGAAAGAAAAGAACTATCCATTCTGTGAGATGAGTATGTTGATACTAGATGGAAGACAGAGGAGTGAAGATGGTAGAAGCGATGATAAAATACCTACCATGTCGACCCATACCAACTAAATCTCACGCCATCTCCATGTAAAAGATTAGGTAGTAACTAGAAATCCAGTCAGTCATCCATCCATCCATTCATCCATCCAAGAAAAACCATAACAATACTTCAAAGATTGCAAATTCAATACATACATTCAAGTCCCAAAAAGGCAAAAAGACAGACCAGAAGACACAGAGCTGACACTCCCAAATCCTGATGCAGAAATAAATGCCCTTGGATTCTACATGATGGAAGTCAATTTTTATCTTTATGCACTGGTAAACTTATTGCAGAGCCAGCAGTCAACATCCATCAATTCCAACAATCTAGAAAGTTAAGTGAAACATAAACGATCTTTCCCTCAGTCAGGGAACAAATATGTCAACCTGACCAGGAAGCTCAGTAAATGTAAAACCCACCAATAAAGATCTGTGCTATAAACTGGACAGAGAGGAAAGTAATCAAACTATCACATACTCATTGAAATTTACCACACAAGACCTCCCAATCCCCATCCAGACTTCCAGCCTGTGCAAGAAAAAAGCCAAAACCAAAAACCAAGAAGTTCAAAGCCTCTAGCAACAGAACTCTTAATCAACCACCTCCCTCCAAGAAACAAAAACCCACATCTCGACCTCCATCTCTCTACCAAAAAGAATCTTCAGACCCAGTGAATCCACCTGTAGCCAAACAAAAATATCCAGCATAGCATAGCATAGCATAGCATCCTCCCCTCCCACCCATCAACCTGACTGAGTATTCTCAACAATCTCACAACAAAACCAAACCCACAATCCAACCCACAACCATCCTTCTCTTCTTTCTCAAAGCAACCAAAACAACACAAACATATTCCCAAACAAGTTCCAGCTTCCATCCAAGTATCTCCACAATCCCCATACCTTACCTCAAACCTTTGAGTCAAAAAGCTAGACATCCAAAACAATCAGGCAGACAATCCGAGCTGAGCTGAGCTAAGCGACAGAAAAAGGGTCCGGATCTTCCTCAACTATTACTTACCTCTTGAAATTTTCTTCTTCTTCTTCTTCTTCTTCTTCTTCTTCTTCTTCTTCTTCAATCCTTCTTCTTCTTTACATCTTCTGTTTTATTTTATTTTCTTTTACAACTTTGTTCAATACATTTTCCACAATCTTTCAACAACATGGGCTCCTCTGGTATGTAGACATCTTTCCTATTCTATTTATCTTTCTCTTTCTATTCTATTAGGTCAAAAGACTCTTTATTCTCATGCAATTGTTCGAGTCCAAAACAACAGATGCTTTGATGAATCCAGACTTTTAAGACTTACCTGATAGATACAATTTCGTCCCATCCCCAAGCTTTTGTTTCTACACATAGACCGAGTCTTGGTTGAGCAAACTTCATCAAGTAAAGAGATTTTTGGCCATCGATTCATTGATCTTTGAGATTGAATTATTAATCGATGATCAAGAACCTCTGAAGCTTACCTGCTTGCTCTTCCATGCTCGTATACAGCAAAAGAGTACTCTGTGCTAGAACGAGCATCCTGAAACTGATGTTTCAATGTCTGCACTCATTAAAATACCAAGATTTCGGGAATGGTTGACTCACGAGCTGCTGTGCCTGCCACCTCAAAGCCACATACTAACTTCATATTCTATGGACAGATGAGGAGAGCGTTGCCAGCAAGGCAGATAGCTCAACTAGCGACGAAAGCTACACCACCGGTAAGAAGTCCCACTTGAACCATGACCTCACTACCGCTGCATGCGCTGACCCCAGAAAATCAGCCAGATCCCGATTTGCTAGTTCGGCACGCTCCACTGGTTCGATCAACGGCGATGGCAAGTACATTTATCTCCATCAACAAAATGGTTATCTTGCTGACGCCAATTTTTCTACAGATCAACCCTCATGTACATATCCTACCTCTCGTTGAGCTTTTGATTGTCCGTACTGACAAGAACAACAGTTGCTCCTTCAACTCCTACCATTCCAGAAACTGTTGGTAAGAAATTTCAAACTTCACTATCGTCGCACCTTCACTTTTGACACCGCTCGAGGCACACCACTTGGCAGAATAAACATTCACTTTCTCCTATGGTAACAAAATACGCTAGTGCGTTTATGTTTACCTACAATTGCCTTCTGCATCGCAGCCTCTTCTGCCAAACAACTTTTTTTCTCGATCTGATGAGAATCTTATCTACCCACATTCTTTGATTGTTAAAAAAACAATCTTGCTTTCCAATAGCTAACATGAATCATTACGAAGAAGAGGAAACTCCTCCATTCTTGCATCAGATGCTTCATCGAACGGCCAGCGACGGTTTTGGTCCTTTGGCCGAAGTTCCAATGTCTCGAGACAATACAAACAATAGCGAAGACCTTAACCTCTACCGCGCATCCTCGGTGGCCTCGTATCAATCACATCAGTCGAGCCAGACTAAGCACGCTATGTCCACCACTGTCCCGTTCACCTACGAGGAAGCATGTCGCGAATTGAATGCATATTGTGAGGAGAATATTCGAGCCGGATGTGAACTTTTGGAGCGCGAAATTGACGTGATCGCATACGATGAGATAGGCGGCGAAACAAGTCACCACACGATTCTATTAACTCTCAATCTAGACCTAAAAGATTTGATCAATAAATTACAGGGCCTTATCGACGGACGCGAGGTTGATCCTAACTCTATTCACAGAGGCAAGGGCAAGTATTTGATTCGGCGTATCGACGTTCGCTGTGGTCAACGTGATATGGACAGTTTTCTGCCAGCTATTGAAGGCGTTGTAACCGATGCGACTTCTCATGCTTCGCTCAATGTCACAAATCCATCCGCACAATGGGTGACCTGGAATTGTATCAGCGGTGGTCCAATGAACAACTATTGGGACCTATATTGTACAGCTATCCAACTTGGCGTGGCAGGAAATGTTCCTGTTTTGAGACTTTATACTGTCAAATGCAGCGACACATACAACATTAACGGCATTGGTCATATCTTCGACGCTGGCAATTCCAGACACCCAAGAGTCAGACGTTGGTCAGGTGGTAAGCCACCAGGCGGCGGTATCTTCGAAAAGACGACATCTACGACTGGAGTAACAAGTGGCTTGAACCCTATCGCATCTGCCTTCAAGTTTGGTGCAACTTTCGATGAAGCTGTCGACGCTTCTAATCCTCGACTACCCACGACAAATTACAAGGGCAAGGGCAAGGCAGTCGATATCTCAAGTCCCAATACTGATGGTTTTTTGCATGGAGGCGAATACAAAGGTGCGGGTGAGAAGGTCACTGTTGATACCACTGCCACTGAATGGAAGAAAGCTCCTATTCCTGACTGGGATAGCTTGCCCCCCGCTATTAATTATAATCCCGGTGGATATCAGGCAAAGCCAACTTCTTGGACATATTGGCAACGAATTGGCGGTGATCCGAAAATACACAAGGAGTTTCCTCTAGGCCATATCCCTTACCCCGTATCATCAGATATTGACCACTGCGATTTTCTTCCAGGAGAGCCAATTGACATGAAAACTTCAATTGCTTCTGCGATGAAAGCAATTGCGAAAAATGAGAAGCCAATTATGCCAAAGTTGAGCGCTCAAGAGCAGGCAGTTCTCGATGATATCGCAAACCAGACAAGAAAGGAGTTTAACAACGCCAGAGGTTTTGATCAGGAAGATGATGACATTTTTATTCCAACTGCCAATCCAAACTGGAATCCCAATGGTCCGAAGAACCAGCTTACAAAGGATAGAGAAGCTGCATCAGGTTTGACCAGCATGAGTAACATTCCCGCAAGATATCAAACTCAAGCAGCCGTTCCTGAGACCAGACAAGGACCACCATCATATGTCACCGCATACTACAATCGCCCAACTCAGCAAAATACAATGGCTGGTAATATGGCTGGTACTTCTCCAGGTACAATGTCTGGTACGGATGCTTCTGCTAGACTTGCATCCCCACATGCCACCCAGAGCAAATCTACATTCCCATCCGGTGGTCGGGCAAGACCTTTCACACCCAGTCAGATGACGTCGTTCCAAGCATTAAACGCTGGAAGTAGACCTAGCACACCTACCCTTCGATATGGTGGCAGTACTAGCTCATTTGCAATGCCAAGCACAAGCATTGGTTTCAATGCCCCTCCTAACACCATCTCTCGCAGTCGGCCATCCTCGCCAGCAAATTTGAGTCAGATCACAGATCAGCTGTTCAATTTGAACATGGCCAACCCCCAGGGACAATCGCGCGGTAATAATAATCAATTGTTTGTTCCAAATTCTCGATTATATGTCCCAGAATTCGGAGCAAATCAAAACACCTCAACTGCTCAGGGTCTTGGTAACCTTTCACAGAATTCTGAATGGAACTTCACCCAGGAAGGGACCAAGTATCCTTTCGGATACAATTTTGAGTTTGGTGGCAGTGGAGGCAGTGGAGGCAATGGAAGCAATGGAAACACTGGAGGACTCTGATTGGTGGAATAGCGTGGTAATCTTGTAGACTGGTTTTGTACCGGTCGGTTCTGATGAATGGTTGGGGTATCCAAATTGATTTCTGGTAATAGTATTGCTCCAGGAGACTTCTTTCGAATTTTTCTAGGAGAGA